AAATTCAACATTTTATAGTGCAGTTTAGGAAGATATTTTGGAACATTTTAATAAAACAAGTGATGAATTACAGACTCCTGATGTAGATGTATATGGTGGGTACTTTCTTCTGTCACCTTTCAAGTTATTTTATTAAGGCACTGAGATAAAATTGAGATTAAAAAAATCAAGAGGATACAAAACCAAAGTGATAAGATGAATGAGAAAGTAAAGAGAAATTGTCCTGACATTGAGAAGTGAAGAGTAACCAAAAACTGTTTCAATCATAAGAAAAACAGTAATTCATTAAAAGGAAGAGAATAATCGTTTCACACTGTATACATACATGAAAACATCATATTGTACATCTTAAATATACATAATTTTGTCAATTATATCTCAATAAAGCTGGAAAAAAGAGGAAGAGAGAACTTGCAAATGAAAGTAAAAAATAAACTAGCCAGACATCGTGGCTAATGCCTGTAATCCCAGAACTTTGGGAGGCCAAGGCAGGGAGATCACAAGGTCAGGAGTTTGAGACTAGCCTGGCCAATATGGTGAAGCTCCGTCTCTACTAAAAAACTACAAAAATCAGCTGGGTGTGGTGGTGCATGCCTGTAGTACCAGCTACTTGAGACGCTGAAGCAGAAGAAGCACTTAAACCCAGGAGGCAGAGGTTGCCATGAGCAGAGATCGTGCCACTGTACTCCAGCCTGGGTGACAGAGCAAGACTCCACACCCCCCAAAAAAAGTAATAAATAGGCTATTAAGTTGTTTAATAATTTGTGATTTATATAAACTCATTGAAAAATATTAAATTTCTTTCTGATTTGATCTCTCACTACCATTGAGGAAGATGATATAAAACTCACAATATATGATTCCAATGAATACATTTATGACAAATGAGCGACTTCAATTCAAAAACTACATATGATTAATAACTGTGTAAGAAAAGGTTGGGCACAGTGGCTCATGCCTGTAATCTCAGCACTTTGGGAGGCAGGTGGATCACCTGAGGTCAGAAGTTCCAGACCAGCCTGGCCAACATGGTAGAAACCTTGTCTCTACTAAAAATACAAAAATTAGCTAGGGTGGTGGCTCGCACCTGTAATCGCAGCTACTCAGGAGGCTGAGGCAGGAGAATCGCTTGAACCTGGGAGGCAGAGGCTGCAGTGAGCCAAGAGCACACTGTTGCACTGCACTCCAGCCTGGACAACAGAGCAAGACTTCGTCTCAAAAACTAAAATAAAGAAAATGCAGAATGTCATGAAATGCCTATGTAAAAGGATATTTGTTAAGAGTTTTCTAAAATTTGACAAAAATACTAAACATATATATAGATATATATGTATTTATATAAAACCAACAATGAACTGTGCGGGTGAAAAATAACTTTTCTGACTTATCACTAATAAAAAGCAAATACTGATCAAACACATTAGAGAAAAAACGAAACTATCTTTCTATTCTCTTTAAAAAATATTATAAACTATCATCGTGAATTAAAGATTACATAGCCAACCCTTTTAACAAGATGGTGCCAAAAGCGAAGAAGGAAGCTTCTGCCCCTCCTAAAGCCAAAGCTTTGAAGGCTTTGAAGGCCAGGAAGTTAGTGTTGAAAGGTGTCCACAGCCACAAAAATAAAGAAGATCCACAGGTCACCCACCTTCCGGCAAACCAAGACACTGTGACTCCCAAGGCAGCTCAGATATCCTCGGAAGAGCACCCCCAGGAGAAACAAGCTTGACCACTCTGCTATCGTCAAGTTTCCGCGGACCACTGAGTCCGGAGTGAAGAAGATAGAAGACAACACACTTGTGTTCGTTGTGGATGTTAAAGCCAACAAGCACCAGGTCAAACAGGCTGTGAAGAAGCTCTATGACATTGATGTGGCCCAGGTCAACACCCCAATTCGGCCTGATGGAGAGAAGAAGGCATATGTTTGACGGCTCCTGATTACGATGCTTTGGAGGTTGCCAGGAAAATTGGGATCATCTAACCTGAGTCCAGCTGGCTAATATGTATATCTTTTCACCATTAAAAAAAAAAGTACATAGCCATGTAATGTAGGGGGGAAAAGTATGAAGAAGTATGGCTGGCAGTTACTTAATTAAAATATTACTTTAAATTTTTGCATTGTTTGTAATATTTTTCAACTTTTAAAAATTTATGTGATTTGGCCGGGCGCGGTGGCTCAAGCCTGTAATCCCAGCACTTTAGGAGGCCGAGGCGGGTGGATCACGAGGTCAAGAGATCGAGACCATCCTGGTCAACATGGTGAAACCCTGTCTCTACTAAAAATACAAAAAATTAGCTGGGCATGGTGGCGTGTGCCTGTAATCCCAGCTACTCAGGAGGCTGAGGCAGGAGAATTGCCTGAACCCAGGAGGCGGAGGTTGCGGTGAGCCGAGATCGCGCCATTGCACTCCAGCCTGGGTAACAAGAGCGAAACTCCATCTCAAAAAAAAAAAAAAAAAAAAAAAATTTATGTGATTTGTTTTAGACTAAATATATAATCAGTTGTGCACCTACTTTTGTATCTAAAATTGTTATTCTTTATCACACTAACCAAATGTATGTAAACTTAAGGCCCCACAAGATCTGAATCTGTCCCTGTTATCCACTTTTCTCTCTACCTAATTGGTCTACTGTGAGTGGGAGACCCCGAGGGAGACCTGCAAGTGCTGAGGCAAGGGTCTGAAGCCTCAACCTGTTTCCATATAAATATAGAGCTAGAAAAAGAATTAGAGCTATAGCTCCATAGTTATTCCTATATATATATAAAACCATGTATAATCACACAGTAATTCACATATATATGCTCAATATAACCTTTTGAGTTTACTAATGATTATCGGCTTATGAAGCATGGAACTGAGGTGACATGGTGAACAAAGTCATCCTAAGGCAAGATGCTCTAAGCCCTCTGTCACACCCGCATAAGGGCTGCCGGAGGGTGCCTCGGCTGTGCGGCAGCACCAGCGCTGGGAACGCACCCGCTGTTTAGCCAGCTAGGGAAGGAGACGTCCAAAATGGCTGAAATGTCCAAAATTCCCTCCTTCCTGGGGAAGTTAGGAGAAAACTCCGCTTCTCCAAGCTCCTGTGCTACCACTGTCGGGTAGGACCGCAGACATCGGGGGCTTAACTGTCTCTATGTGATGCCATGCTTCAGTGGTCATATTCTCTGTCCACTCTCACGCTCCGCTTCCGCAACTGTTTTCTCTTTTCCCAAAAGATAAAAATCAGTAGTAGTGACAGAAATCTTAATGCCTTAGTTCTTTCTTGACAAGTATGAGAAAAGTGCTGATGCATTAGGTTTTCTCCTCACCTCTGCCACTTGAAAGACCTGGGCCCCTACCTCCAAGACACGTGATTTCCCTTACCCTATCACTGACCACCATTACCTCACCCTACCTACCCTGCCCCCTGCTTTGTACTCAATAATTAAGTCAGGGCGTCCAGGCACTTGGGGCCACTGCCAGGCTCCACACTTTGGTTGGCAGTGGACCCCGGGCCCAAACTCTGTTTTCTTTCTTGGTGTCTTGCATCTTTTATTTCTACAGCTTTTCCTCTCCACTCCAGCAGAGAGGGGCTCACAGGACCCTGTAGGGCTGGACCCTACAGTCTACCCTTGTCTATGCTTGTCCTCTTCCAATCTGTTCTTCATGCCACAGTCTAAACGATCTTCTAAAAATTCATGTATGATTATATTTCTCCTATATTCTTTCAGTAATTTCCAATTTGCCTTACTATAAAAACCCAAGTCCTTAAAATAGGACCTGGGTCCTCACCACCTCTCTCCCTCTGCTCTAACCACACTGGCTTCTTTTAGTTATTGCAACGCACCAGCTCACGACCTTTGCATATGGTGTACTCTGCGCCTAGGAGACATTCTACCACCCCAACACTCCATTAACAAATTATCTCCTACTCAAACTTCAGGTTTCACTCTAAGATCACTTCCTCAGGACACCTTAGACTAAGTCAGCCTGCCACTCTCTTCAATGCTAATTGCACCCTTTACTTTTCCTTCATAGCATGCCTATTTGTAATCATATACTTCTGTGACTATTAGATTGTCCATCTCTCTGCCACTAGACTGCAAATTCCTTGAAAGAGGGACAGTGTCTCTTCAACACTAGTGTAGCAGTGTTACCGGAACAAACCCCAAGAGAGGGTTCTTGCATCTTGTGCAAGAAAGAATTTGGGACAAGACCATAAAGTGAAAGCAAGTTTATTATGAAAGTAGAGGAATAAAAAAAATGGCTACTCCATAGGCAGAGCAGCTGAGGGCTACTGGTTGCCCATTTTTATGGTTATTTCTTGATATGCTGAACAAGAGGTGGATTATTTATGCCTCCCCTTTTTAGACCATATAGGGTATTCCTGACATTCCCATTTGTAAACTGTCATGCTGCTGGTGGGAGTGTAGCAGTGAGGACTGCCAGAGGTCACACTCATCGCCATCTAGGTTTCGGTGGATTTTAGCCAGCTTCTTTTCATCAGCAAGGTCTTTATGACCTGTATCTTGTGCTGGCCTCCCATCTCATCCTGTGACTTAAAATGCCTAACCGTCTGGGAATGCAGCCCAGCAGGTCTCAGCCTTATTTTACCCAGCCCCCATTCAAGATGGAGTTGCTCTCCTTCAAATGCCTCTGACAGCAGCATCCTGAACAAAGTGTGGAACTAATTACACAGTTTCTGGCCTCAAATAGTTTATAATCTAACCTTGAAAATGAAAAGAAACAATTTTACAATTTGGGGCATCAATGCAAATGTTAGTTTCTTTTTTTGTGCAAGAAAGTCTTCCTGGAAGTCTGGAAACCTGAATACATAAGGATTATTCTAACCAGCTTGAAAAATGGGCCAAGGCCAAGGCCGTAACCAAGTGTATTCTGGTTGTCTAGGAACGGCTCTGACCATATTTCTGGCAAAATTGCTTCTTGCAGAAAAACTCTACTTCATTTTTTTAAAGTTTCTTTTGCCTTCTGTAGGCTTACTTTAAAAAAAGTATTAAGATCCTTTCGTGGTTTATTAGTGTGATGATTCAGTTTTTACACTAATGTGTGAGTTACGACCCCTACCTCAAACCTTGTTAGGACTCCACACATTACCCCTCTGTAGTGGAAAAAAAAAAGTAATAAAAGAAAGGCAATTTTTTTAATAGCCCTATCCTTGTACACATGAGGTTTCAAAGTGTTTCCATCAACATTTTTACCTTATAGTACAGTGTCTTCACGAGTTTTTTTTTCTCTTTTTTTAAAATTTATCTTACTTTTAAGTTCTGGGACAGTTTTCACGAGTTTTAAGAGACTCTTCTTGGCAGACAGTTCAGCTCAGAGAAAATACTTTTACCAGCAAGGAGGTACTACACCCTGTTACATTGGTCTGGGAATATAACTTAACAGTTCACCTTGCCAGTAAGATCTCTCTTTCTACAGATGTCCGCAGAGGGGCAAACTCGAATTGTTCCAGAGAGACCACAAAATACTTGGAGCTAGTATCATGGAATATTCCTCGCTAAAGATTACTTAATAATGCGATGGGGTTGGGGTACGGGCACAGTGGCTCACACTTTACAGGTTACATCCCAGCACTTTGGGAGGCCGATGCGGGCAGATCACAAGGTCAGGAATTTGAGACCAGCCTGACCAAAATGGTGACATCTTGTCTCTACTAAAAATATAAAAATTAACCAGGTGTTGTGACACACGCCTGTAATCTCAGCTACGCAGGAGGCTGAGGCAGAAGAATCGCTTGAATCTGGGAGGCGGAGGTTGCAGCGAGCTGGGATCACGCCACTGCACTTCAGCCTAGGCAACAGAGCAAGACTCCGTCTCAAAAATATATATATAATAAAAATAATAATAATGCCATTGGAAGACCACCTTTCAAGGTTTTTGTTCATGCACATCCTCCAACATCTTCCAAGAGGGTGTTTAAAAAGTTACCAAGGAACATTAGGATAAAACTGTCAGGACATCCCTAAATTGTAACTACGATGTCAGCAGAGGAAAGTAGAACATAATCAGGCTTTGGAGTTAAAAGAGCTGAATTGGAAGCCAGTTCCGAATTTAATGAATGAGGCAAATGAGAATGTTAAGATTTATCTCACAAGTTGTAGAGAAAATTAAAAGCGATTAAACATCCGGACCTTGAATAAGTGCCCGTCCACACGGGGATTAAATATGGTAAAGTCCACTTTCCCCATCAGCTGATGTTAATATCTGGTAGGTATAGTCCTCCTTTCTCTTCCCTAATCGGTTGGTCAGTATTTGCCAATTCTTTCCTGCTTTTTAACTTCTCTTTCCTCCATTTAAATCTCCACCAAGCGCTCAGAAAAAGGTCGTACCAGAACGCGAACCGAGCATGCGCATGAAGTACGCACGGGTCATGACCTTTTCCCGGTTCTCCGCCCTTTTTCCCATTTCTCCGCCCCTTTTCCGCAGCTGCCCGGCACCTCCCTCCCGGCTGTGCCCGCCCGCGGCCCCGCCCACGCGACCGTCACGTGACCGCACAGCGTGCTCCGCCCCTTCCCTAGCTCACGTGATCGCGCCTAGGGAGAAAACGCCTGACCCCAGCCCCCGGCCTTCAAGGCTCGGCTTTTTCTTCCTTCGGCTGGTCGGCCTGTCGCCTTTCAGCTACCTGTGCGTCCCTCGTTCCCGTCCCGGGGTCCCCCCGGAGGCTATCGGCCATGCGGCTTTTGCCTCTAGCCCCAGGTCGGCCCGGGTGGGGCAGCCCCCGCCACCTGCCCTCCTGCAGCCCAACGCTGCTGCTGCTGCTGGTGCTGGGCGGCTGCCTGAGGGTCTCCGGGGTGGCGGCGGGAACCCGGAGGCCCAACGTGGTGCTGCTCCTCACGGACGACCAGGACGAAGTGCTCGGCGGCATGGTAACTCTTCTGTTTCAGCCCCGCCCCTCCATCTCTCCGGCTGACTCCCCGGTGTCTTGCTCTCTTTCCCGCTCCCCACCCCCACTCCCCGAACTGGCTGTCTTGACCCTGGGTAGGTTTGGTTTTACCACCTGAGGCCCTTTACGCCGGTGTAAGGGACTGCAAGACTCTTTTCCCTTCTGTACTGAGGCACATGCGTACAGCACACAGAGCTTCTAGTCTGGACTGTACTGCTGTGGAGTTTACGTTAATATCTCAAGATAAACATGTGGAGACCGGTGGAGGATGGGCTGAACCAATGAGGATCAGGTGCTGGCTAAGAGCACTCAAGCCCTGATTGTTTTTCTTTTGGATTAGAGGATCAAAAGACAAGTCCAGTCCCCTTTATGAGAGACCTAGGCCATCTCTGCGTTTGTGCCTGTGTACAATGTCTATGTCTAATACTTGTAAAAATAAGCCTGAAGTGCACTGATCTGGTAGGCAGACCTTCGAACTCTTGAGGGTGTGTTTTGCCTCACAAGAAAATTCAATTGGTCTAATTAAACACCTGACGGTGTTCAATTAGAGACTGTCAGTGTTTCATTTTCTATCTAATGGGTGTTGTCAAAAGACTTCATTTTTTTCCTGCCAAGTTAATTTTGCTTGTGTGTTGCAGAATTCTGGAATGCGTGACCTTTGGAAACATCCACTCCAATCCCTTCCCCGTGGAGGCAAAGCAACTTGCCCAATACACATGAGTAGCTGAGGCAGAGTCTTCTGACCCTGGGTTCAGCATTCCTCTCTTCGCTTTAAAACCAAATGCTTTATTGCTTTATTCGTTTCAGTTCTTTTTGCTTTCAGCTGAATGCTGAGACTATGAAATACTCCAGGCAAGACGTTGCTAACTTTGCTTGTGCAGTTAGTTACACACCCTAACTTAGTGTCCTTCAAACCGCTGGTCCCAACCCGTGAGTGAGTTGTGAAATCAGTGAGTAGCTACCAACACATTTCATTTCCTTTGGAATAGAGTAGAATAGAAAATGTCCGTGTGTTTGTGTGTGTGTGTGTTACACTTGATAAAGGTAATCATGCCCCTCTGTCTGAATTGTCTATCTACAGTCCTGAGTTGTAAAATATATTAGGTTGTGCTCAAGAGCTTGAGAGTCTTTTACAGCTGATGTCTAAGATGTTTGCATTTTGACTACACACTTTTTCCTGCCGTATATGCTTCATTGTCAGTTTCTAACAAGCCATGTTGACAAGAGTCTTGATTTAATTTTCCTCTTGCACTTTAGTTTTACTACTCTTTTACTATTTTGTCTGCTCACAAAATTCCTTTTTTATTTAAAAACAACAACAAACTGTGTCCTTGAAGAGTGTTTTGTCCAGAAAAAGCAAGTCTTCTCTAGCAGTGACTAAAGTTCTCAGTCAAAACGTCAAGCTTTTATAGCTATTGAAAACAAAATTCATTGCTTAAATATAAGGTATTGAGAATTCAGTTTCTTCAATTCTTATCAACCACAGCTGTAGTCTGTGTGTATTTGAGGTCTCTTCCTTTTAGTATGTTAATCCTATTTGTTTCGTTAAGCCAGTAGCAGTTTGTTTTTGAGTTGGGGTCTTGCTCTGTCATGCAGGCAGGAGTGCATTGATGCAGTCGAGACTCATTGCAACCTTGAATTCCTAGTCTCAAGCAGTCCTCCTGCCTCAGCCTCCCCTAATAGCTGGAACTACATGCACATGGCACCACATCCAGCTAATTTTTAAATATTTTGTAGAAACAATTTCTCCATGTTGCTCAAGCCAGTCTTGAACTGCTGGACTCAAGTAATCCACCCACCTCAACCTCCCAAAGTGTTGGGATTACCTGCATAAGCCACTGCCCCGGCCCAGATTCTTTTTTAAAACAGGAGTTTCTACTGGAGAGAGGTACCGAAATTGAGTGGAGGAAACAAGTCAAGCTTAATGTTCCCAACTCAAGAATTCTGGCTTCTCTTCTAGCCTTTTTCAGAATATTCTACCACTGATTGTCAAACAGGACTCCAAAGGGAAGAGCTAGACAAGGGCATTTAAGAACTTACTTGGAGCCAAGCAAAGTATTAGGATTTTTATTCTTGTGCTTCATCACAGGAGTCCACTGCTGTGCATAGTATTCTTATCTTAAAAGGAAACTAAACCTGGAAGGTGGTTAAGTGACTTGGCTAGGGTTCATATAGCTAATACTGGACAAAGCCTGGGTAGCTAATCTCAGAGCACCATGCTTTTTCTACTATTCTAGAATACTGTGATAATAATCAGATTTCATTCCACATACCCACACCAGCATAATCACACCATAGGTCAGAGAGTCTGCAGGTGACCTTTGGGGATGCCAGTGACTTCATGGAACTCCTTAATTTACATGTAAAACTTTGTGTATAATGTCTTCATTTTTGTGGAAAGAGAGCTCTAACCTAAAAAAGATTACAGATTGCTGCCATCATTGGCAAAATAAACAGTGGTCAACCCCCACCAGACTAACTCTGGTCAAAGGATTGTAGATGGCACTTATAACATGATTTAGATTTGTAGTGGAATTTTTCAGTGTCTTAGAAATTCTCTTTTATATAGTAGCATTGTCTTTAATTTTATTTGTTCCAAATATCTGTGGGACTCTGTTTTTATTTTGCCAGGGAACTTTTCTTGTCTCTTTCTTGATTTTACTTAAACATCATTATAGTGTGGAGGACACAGTATTCTTCACAGAAGCATAAGTTGCTCTTTTTAAAATCATTCACGGCCAGGCACTGTGTCTAACGCCTATAATCCTAGCAGTTTGGGAGGTGGAGGCAGGTAGATCATGAGGTCGGGAGTTCCTGACCAGCCTGACCAGCATGGTGAAACCCCATCTCTACTAAAAATACAAAGATTAGCCAGGCATGGTAGTGCACGCCTGTAGTCCCAGCTGCTTGGGAGGCTGAGGCAGGAGAATCGCTTGAACCTGGCAGGCAGAGGTTGCAGTGAGCCGAGATCATGCCACTGCACTCCAGCCTGGGCAACACAGAGAGACTTTGTCTCAAAAAAAAAAAAAATAAATAAATCATTTAAGAAAAGTGACATTTGGCCAAAACCTCAGGCAAGTGAGGGAAGGAGCATCACCCAGGCTGGAGTGTAGTGGCACGATCTTGGCTCACCGCAGTCTCTGCCTCCCCAGTTCAAGCGATTCTCCTGCCTCAGCCTCCCAAGTAGCTGGGATTACAGGGACCCACCACCACGCCCGGCTAATTTTTGTATTTCTAGTAGAGACGGGTTTCACCATGTTGGCCAGGCTGATCTTGAACTCTTGACAAAGTGATCCGCCCACTTTGGGCCTCCCAAAGTGCTAGGATTACAGGCATGAGCCACTGCACCCACCTGGGGAAGAATAAATATTTCATTGCTTCACTGAAAGCAAAACAGTTTCCATTGTTAGCCACAGAATTATCAGAATTGTCAGTTCAGAGCAGCTATACATGGAACAAGGAAAGTAAATGACTCTTTGGGGTTTTAATGGAAAAGATTCTCCTTGGGGTGAGCAGAGTAACACGTTTGCCCATATGAGAGCATGAGACTGGCTGCTGCTTAAAGACTTGTATGGCCTTAACTTGACCATACAAGTTTTTTGTTAGATCTTTGCTTAGATCTTAAGGGTTCATTTTACATTCTGATTAGCATAGAGACACATACACATTTAGGATACAGTATGGTTTCTTGTTCAGAACTTTTTCAGTTAAGCACAGATTATGGTTATATTTTATACTATTGTTAGCAGTATAAAGATTACAGTTAATACAAACTACTTTTTTTTTGAGGCAAGATCTCTTCTTGCCTAGCGGGGGAGTGCAGTGGTGCAATCATAGCTCATTGCAGCCCCGAACTTCTGAGCCCAAACAATCCTCCTACCTCGGCCTCTCAAGTAGCTGGGACTACAAGCATACACTACCAAACTCAGCTAAATTTTGTATTTTTTGTAGAGGCAGAGCCTTGCTATGTTGCTCAGGCTTCTCTCGAACTCCTGGCCTCAAAGAGTCCTCCTGCTTCTGCCTTCTAAAGTGTTGGGATGACAGGTGTGAGCCACCTCATTGGACCTAAAGTCTAAATTGCTGTTCCGCTCTCTATGACTGACTCCTGCCTACCTCTCTGACCTCATCTTACCTCACTCTCCCTTTTCCTTCTTAAGCTGCTACTATTGCCACACTGGCTTTTCTGTTCCTCCCAGGTGTCTCTCTCCTTCCTCTGGCAGCCCTCGTACCTACATACCCAGCCTGAAACAGCTTTGAATCTTTGCATGACTGGCTCCTCATCACATGGCTTTCCGTACTGAAGTTACCTTTGGAAAGAGAGGCCTTTCCTGACCACCCATCTAAAGTAGTTCCCTTTTCCTCCCACCAGCTGCAATCACATTATCCTGGTTTATTCTCTTCATAGCACTTATCACCACCTGAAATAACTGTTTACCTGTTAGTTGTTTTAAGTCCCCAAGAGTGCTGGGATCCTGCAGCCAAGGACCATCTATCCTCTGTCCACCACTGCCTAGATTAATGCCTGGAACATGTTGTGTTTAATATATGGTATTACACAGTTTTCCTGTAAATCAGATATTCTTTCATAGTTTTACATATTTATCAGACAGTTTAACAAGAAGTCTCATACAGTTAACTCTGATGGTCCTTTTTTCCACTTACTCTTTGAATCCTCATTTCGCCTTCAAATGTCCTCATAGTAACTCAGGTTCTTTATCAAACCAGTGTTTCAGTGAGCCCAGTATTCTCTTCCTGAGGGTGGTACCCAGTGATGCTTTGAGGAGAGCATGGCTGGTGACCTTGCTTTGGAAGCTTGGCAAAGATCTTCTGCATCTCCTACATCTCGTGGCAGCCTCTTCTGTATCTACTCATGAAATCTCAGAGCTTTTTTTGGATAAATTAGAATTCTCATCCTTTTGAGCTTATGGATTCCATAGATTTTGTATTTATATTAAACAATGGAAAATCATTTATATATTATTGAAATTGAGGCTTCTATTTTACCTAGTTATATATTTAGATTAGCGATCTTTAAGGAATTATTATACAACAAAATATACTTAAAACTGCATTCAGTATGGTCTTAGGTTTCAAAGGTATTTCAGAGTCTTCATGAACTGACCCATATTAGAATAAAACAGCCTCTTCAATGGTGCTTTTTGCTGTCTGGAATCTGAAGAATATTAGTGTTCCTTTCATTTGTATTGAAATGACTGTCTTCATACTTTCATCCTCACTCTAGAATGAATTGTTCTCTGTACTTGTAAAGATCTTAGATTTTGAAGAAAAGATGAAAAGCAAGGACATAAAGTTGTTTCTGAGTAGCCTTTTGCCTGACAGTGTTCTGCATACACCTGTTTACCACCGGGTTCAAGTCCTTATCCTGAAGTGCTAGTGGATCTATGCAGATGGCAGTAGCTGTAGTTGAACAGTGTGCATCTGGCCTGTACCACTGAGTGAGTGAAGTTTGAATCAGTCTCTGAGCCCTGGGGCCCTGACTTTCAGAATCCAACTGTTGTCTTCTGTTTCATAGGGCTGAAGACTCCCTTTATATCATTTCCCACATCCTACTTCTGAAGATTAATTCATTGAGATAGGCCTGCCTTATCTGGGGGCTGATAACTATAAGGGCACAAAGATGTTACTGCCACCAACTGAACTCTCCCTGCAAGCATTTTGACCTCCTGTACTTTTACACAGGATGGAGCTGGCTGGAGCCAAACCTGTCTCTAGAATCATACAGGACTCTGTTTGGCTGTTGCTTAGAGCTGACCGTTTAGAAATTAAAGATTAAGATGTAACAAAACAGGAATTCTTTGTGCCTTAATTTATTGGAAGAAATTGTCTAATGGATAATTACTTACTTTTACAGACACCACTAAAGAAAACCAGAGCACTCATTGGAGAGATGGGGATGACTTTTTCCAGCGCTGTAAGTTTTACGGCTAATTCAATTTTGTTAATCTAATCGTGTTTGTAGCTTGAGAAGAAACTCTCTTCTCGGGAATCTGGTATGATCTATTTGGTTTTTTTTCCTTGTTAAATAGTTCATCTGAAGGAAGGATTTAATGTGATATAAACTCTTTTAATTGAAGTATTACCTCTTATAAATTGAAGATTAACTGCAGATATTTCTAAGCCAGTCTCAGAACTAGAGAATTTTATTTTAAACTTCACCATTTGAGGTTTGAAAATGGATTGTAAAAAATCAAGTAATACGTACGCTGTGTTATCTTTTCTATGGTAAAAACCCAATTAATCCTGATAGCCAGCTGTAAAAAGCAACACACACACACGCACCATAAATATAGATGCAAAGATTCAAAACAAAATATCAACAATTGATTTTCAACCATGTACATAACAAAGTGAATGGTAGTCTAGGAATGTAAGGGTAGCGTACTATCAGGAAATCCCTTGAACAGTAGCATAGTGTTATGTTGAAGTGCTCAGACTCTGGAGCCAAGCTACCTAGTCTGGAATACCCTTTCTGTCTCTTGTCTAGCAGCGTGACCTTGGACAAATTATTTAAACTCTCTGGCCCTTTTTCTCCCTATTTATAAAAGGGAGTACCAAAATCTCCTTCAGAGTTGTTGTGAGGTTGAGTTAATATGTGTAGAGCACTGACTTCTTCTTCCCCACCCCCGCCAAGACAAATTCTCACTTTGTTACGCAGGCTGGAGTACAGTGGTGCAATTTCGACTCACTGCAACCTCCACCTCCTGAGGTCATGCAATTCTCCTGCCTTAGCCTTCCAGGTAGCTAGGATTACAGGTGCCCACCACCATGCCAAGCTAATTTTTTGTGTTTTTAGTAGAGATGGGTTTGCACTATGTTAGCCAGGCTATTCTTAAACTCCTGACCTCAAGTGATCCGCCCACCTCAGCCTCCCAAAGTGCTGGGATTATAGACGTGAGCCACCATGCCCAGCCAGCGCCTGACTTATTGTAGTAAATACTACATGATGTTGGTTATTATATGTCTATCGACATGATATAAATTATTGAAAGAAGGAAAATTGAATGTTCTTCCTAATGGATACTTGAAAGTACTCTGAAATTTTAGCATCTTTTCCTGGTAACATATTAAGCTATTGTAAGAATGCTTCCTGACTATGATGAATATTTCAAACAAATACATAAGGTGAAAGGCTCAGGGCAATTGCTGTTAGGAATAAAACAAGGGCTCCATTTAATGATATTCCGGACTGTCTAGTCATTACCATTAAGTCTTATGGAAATCAGAGGTAAAAATATTGGAAAAATTATTTCTGCTTGTTTGGATTTTCTATCTGGGAAACACAGGAGAATTATTGAAATACTTAAAATCACTAGAATTCAGCAAGATAAAAATGAAAAAATAAAAATAACTTTCTTCCATGTGATCAGTTAGAAAAATAGAAGGTGGGGGACAAAGAAAATATCTTATTCATAATTACTTATTTTTCTTTTATATAAAGATAGAGACAAGATCCTACTGTGTAGCCCAGGCTGGTCTGGAACTCCTGAGCCTAAGTGATCCTCCTACCTCAGCCTTGCAAAATGCTAGGATTACAGATGTGAGCTGCCATACCCTGCCTCATTCATAATTTATGAACTTTCTAATAATAACTGGTTGGGGCCAGAAATGGCTATGACCTATGTAAGTTAAGTTACAAAACGATGTGAGTGGTAAGATAAAAAATATTTGATACATAGATATGCACATCATTTTACATACATTTCATTTCTTCCTTTTTTTTTTTTTTTTTTTTTGAGATAGGGTCTCATTCTATCACCCATGTTGGAGTGCAGTGGCATAGCTCACTGAAGACTTAAACTCAAACTCCTGGGCTCAGATGATCAGATGATTCTCCTACCTCAGCTTCCCAAGTAACTGGGACTATAGGCATGCATCACCACACTCAGCTAATTTTTTTTTCACTTTTTTTTTTTTTTTTTTTTTTTTTTTTTTTTTTTTTTTTTTTTTTTAGAGACAAGATCTTGCTCCTGTTGCCCAGGCTGGTCTCAAACTCCTGGCCTCAAGTGATCCTCTGCTTCGGCTTCCCAAATAGCTTGGATTACAGGTGTGAGCCACTGCGCTCAGCTAAGACACAATATTATATAATATATTTATTCTAGTTGTAATTCTATCAAGATTATTTTAGACTCAAGTGATTCCAAAAGTTACCTGGAATAATAAATAGAATAATTAAGGTAATTTTTTTTTTTTTAATTACAGTGGCTCAATATGATTGTAATCCCAGCCTGGGCAACATGGCAAGACCCTATATCTATAAAAATACTTAAATGGTGGTGCACGCCTGTGGTCCCATCTACTTTGGGAAGTTGGGGTGGGAGGATTGCTTAACCCTGAGGCGGCAGAGGTTGCAGTGAGCTGAGATTGACCAGTATACTCCATCCTGGGTGACAGAGTAAAACTCTGTCTCCAAAAAGAAAAAAAAAAAAAAGAAATTGTTCTACCAGATGCTAAAATGTAATATTAAGATAAACTGTGTACTGACCATAAAATTGATCAAAAAACAAAAAGGGGAAGAGTTAGGAGTTGCAAATTTAAACTTAAGAAGTCAAACGTCTAATAAAATTAAAAGGCAAAAGTAAAAATGAGAAGTATTTGTAACATGACCGAATCCTTCCTTAACTTAAATCTCATGTAGCAAGAGGCCAGCAGCCAGAAGGAAAAAAATGAGCAAAGCATATGAGCAAACCATTCACATAAACACAGTCAGTACATGTGGAGAATGTTCATCCTCACTATTAAAAATGCCAAATCTAACTTGAAAGGCGGAAAAAATTGCAAATATTTAAAAAGGGTAATACCCAATTTTGGCATCAGCACGTGCTCGAATGGCCTTTCCCTGCTGGTGCAAGTATAAGCTAGTACTACCTTTCTGTGAACTGGCTTGGTGATTTGTACCAGTATGATTGGGTAGAATGGGAAAAATATGTTGCTGACAGTAGCTAATGGAAATATAATTACAGTAGGAAAAACTTTTCTTTTCCTATATAAAGTGATACAAGAAATGTATAAAGTTGTGGATCAGCCTGCAAGTGAACCACTGTGTCTCACTTAGATCCAAGTAGTATTATTTGTCTTTGGTTAATACCCATCTCTCACCATGCTGTGCTCCTTGTGTATAAATAATATTTCTGGCTGGGTGCAGTGGCTCACATCTATAATCCCAGCACTTTGGGAGGCCAAAGTGGAAGGATTACTTGAATCCAGGAGTTTGAGATGAGCTTGGACAACACAGTAAGCACGTTGTCTCTACAAATAAAAAATAAATTTAAAAATTAGTCAGGAGTGGTGACACACTCCTATACTCCCAGCTATTTGAGAGGCTGAGGTGGGAGGACCACTTGCATCAGGAGTTCGGGGCTGCAGTGAACTGTGCTTGTGCCACTGCACTCCAGCCTGGGTGACAGAATGAGACCTTGTCTTAAAAAAAAAAAAAAAACCAAAAGAAAAAACAAACTATCTCTATGGCAGATGACACTAGAATTACTGTTATCCTACAGAAAGAAACGAACTGAAAAAGAAATTGGTTTTCTCAGTTTGTTCTCTCTGCTTTAATGTCTACACTATGTGACTTAAAGCAGCCCTCATCAAGTATGTCATGTGTAGAAAAAAAAAATTCCATGAGAAACTACATATTTGAAGTTATTAAGGAACTTTTCTTTACTCTCTTTAGCAGTGATGGGAAGTCCATCTTTCTTGTGTGACTTTGTCCTTTTTGCTTCCGTTCCTTTGTAGTATGTGCCAAGTGCTCTCTGTTGCCCCAGCAGAGCCAGTATCCTGACAGGAAAGTATCCACATAATCATCACGTTGTGAACAACACTCTAGAGGGGAACTGCAGTAGTAAGTCCTGGCAGAAGATCCAGGAACCAAACACTTTCCCAGCAATTCTCAGATCAATGTGTGGTTACCAAACCTTTTTTGCAGGGAAATATTTAAATGAGGTATGTTGAATGATCTCTTTCTTTTTTTTATAATAGCATTGAAAATGTGACTGTAATTCATGTTAATTTTATTAGTAACAATATTAAAGGATTTTTTGATGTACTGTACATTGTTTTCTGTGAATCTGCCCATTAAACAAGAATAAGGAGTATGTTCATGTAAGTATACCTGTACATGTTTACTTGATTTGGGTCCTTGTTTTTTCTTTCAGTAGTCCCAGGAGCATGTATTTTAAAATTGTCCTAAGGCTGCTGTTGTCTGATGCATCTTCCTTCCCTTTTTCCTCAGGAATTCTGCTTGTCATGTGGCTGTCATGGTATCTTTGTTTGCATTTCCCCATTATCAGTATCTAAATTAAGACATTTTTCCTCTTAGAATCTTTCCTCAGATTTCTTAGAATCTTTTCTGAATTATAACAACTTAATGCTTAACTCATGTGTAATGTGAAAAGTGGCAACTAAATTTGGAGAGATTAGTGATAAAGAGAAAGTACCCAGAGTTGGGATATGAAGGTCATTAAAGTGTATGACCAGCAGCTGGTGGGCCAGCTTCCTAGACCTGGATGGAGAGAGACCTTGTGGTGAACTGTTGAGGCCAGATTCCATGGGCCCACCTTCACACATTGGCCTTAGCTTTTACCCAAAGTCCAAATTTAAAGGGAATAGTATGTTTGAGACTGTTTGGGGTTAGCTCTTAAAGTTAAACTGAGGGTTCAAGACAAAGAGAAGATGTACTTATACTCTTTATCTGTAGTTACTAAAGATCTTGGTATCTGAATTTTCTGTTAATTCTCCCCTCCCCCAAGTAATTGCGAGAATCTGCAACCTTGTAAGTATGCAGGCAGTTGAGTCAGTTTGAAAAGGATCATGAGAAACAGGAACTGAGGGTACTGGCTCATTTGGTTGGGGCTATGGGTCATAAAGAGAACTTACACTGCTTTTCGTATTGAAGGTCATCTGATGTGTATATAAAATTAGGAGAGACTTAAAGTAGAAAGATTTTGTTTTCAGGGATTAAGTTCTGCCTTAAGTGGGTGGCATTAAACCTTGTAAGGATAAAGTGGGATGATTCTGTGGTTTCTTTATTTTATTCATCTCATCAGATAAATGGAACTCTAAAAGTGGGTTTCATTTGCAGGACAACTGAAATACAGATTATCCCTTATCCAAAATGCTTGGGACCAGAAGTGTTTTGGATTTTGAAATATTTGCATGATACTTACTGGTTGAGCAGTCCAAATCCAAAAATCCGAAGTGCTCCAGTGAACACTTCCTTTGAGTATCATGTTGGCACCCGAAAAGTTTTAGATTTTCAGATTTGGGATATTACAATAAATTGATAGCTCATAGTCTGATTATTTGGGCTGCTTAGGGTCAGTTGGACTATTCAGTCTGTGCTGTCAGCCGCTCAGCATTCATCCCATGAATAGGCTATGTTGGGTAGGCTGTGTGGACTTTTTCTGTAGTGGGTCAGATAGTAAACATTTCGGGCATTGCAGGCTGTATATCTCTGTTGCTACTATTCAGCTCCGGCATTATAGCGTGAAAGCCGTCACAGACACTGTGTAAATGAATGTGGCTGTGATAAAACTCTTTATCATTATTGAAATTTGAATTTTATATAATTGTCACATTTCACAAATATTATTTTGATTAACTTTTGTATTTTTAAATTGTTAAATTCTTAGCGTGCTGTCCATAAAAAAGTCATCAGGCCAGATTTGGCTCACTGGCTGTAGTCTGCCAACTCCTGCTTTAGACGTTCCTAGGATTATTAGTTTATTTTGGACTTGTGTCTATATTTGGGGAAATTAAGCACCTACTGTGTTTCAGGCATTGGTCTAAAAAGATTCTAGGCCAAGTGTGGTGGCTAACACCTGTAATCCCAGCACTTTGGGAGGCCGAAGCGAGTGGATCACCTGAGGTCGGGAGTTCAAGAGCATCCTGACCAACACGGAGAAACCCTGTCTCTAAAAAAAAAAAAAAAAAAAAAAAAACCTGAAAATTTCCTATTTCTTGCTTTCTAGTCTGGTCATATGTAAGGACTTGTAATTGTCCCTACTTGTCTTGCTTTTCAGTATGGAGCCCCAGATGCAGGTGGACTAGAACATGTTCCTCTGGGCTGGAGTTACTGGTATGCCTTGGTGAGTGATTATTGAAGTTAATGACAATTATATGCAGCCCTACAGATGCAGAATAATTTAGCTCTGACTTTGATATAACTTTATTTGCTTTTACAATTAGTTATTTGAAAACCTTAAAGTATATTGACCTGTGACCAGGTGTAGTGGCTTATGCCTAGAATCCCAACACTTTGGGAGGCAGAGACAGGAGGATCACCTTGAGTTCAGGAGTTCGAGACCAGCCTGGGCAAAATGGTGAGACCCCATCTCAACAGAAAATTTTAAAATTAGCTGGGTGTGGACGTGCACCTCTAGTCCCAGCTACTCAGGAGGCTGAGGTGAGAAGATCACTTGAGCCCAGGAATTCGAGGCTGCAGTAAGCTATGATTGTGCCACTGCATTCCAGTCTGGGTGACAAAGACCCTGTCTCTTTTTAAAAAAAAAAAAAAAATCTGTTGGCTTATGAGTCGAGTCACTCCTTTCTGGGATGTTTTTCCCGCATTGTACAAAGTTTAGCAAAGTAGTTTGCTTTTCTACCTGATCTACTTCTGGCTTTTAAACTAGAACATATAATTGAAACTGCTAGTCTTTAATAAAAGCCTAGTCAAAAAAATCCAATTCAGTCTTGATGCGAGTAATTATCTTTTTAATGTCTTACCACTGCTCAGAGTATAGTTTAGCACAGCATGGATTCAGACTTCCACTTTGTTCACTAACCTCATAACAAATTTGACTTTCCTCTTTTTAATAGGAAAAAAATTCTAAGTATTATAATTACACCCTCTCTATCAATGGAAAGGCACGGAAGCATGGTGAAAACTATAGTGTGGACTACCTGACAGATGTTTTGGTGAGTTGCAGAAGCCTTGTAGCTCTGTCCTTACAGAGTTGGCTCACATTTGATTGAAGACTCTGCCTAGAAAACCCATAATCTTGTTTGTGTTGGGTAATGTAAATGCACGGTAACTTCGTCTAACTGCTCAAGAGTATTTCCAGCTAATTACAAACTCCTGAGGGTATTTTCTTTGTGTATAAGCCAGGCTCAGATCTAATGCTCTTGAAATTCTAGCAACAAATTCCTTTCCAAAGGTTAATCTCTTTGACTATAGAGATTACTTTGTAGGGGTTTTACTTTGTAAGGGTTCCTACTCTTGACCCCAGTTTTACTCATAAGCTACAAGATGGCAGCCTCACAGGCCCCATTATGAAGGTGGAGGGATAGGGATATTGGATTTATTTGGGCATTGGGTATTTATATATAAAAACTACTGAAAGCAGGTGAAATTGGGACTTTTCTGTTTTGAGGCATGTCTAATAGCAGTCTTCCATAGTATTATATATTCATTCACTCAATAGTTCATCACCTAGTATAGCGAGTCTTCAGCACTAAATGAAGCAAAGCCCCTGCTTCTGTGGAAGGTAATTTTATTCACACACGCACACTCTCGCAGTCTTATGCATTGCCTCATTAGATGGTCATCAGTTAGAGAAATAAGTTAGGGTATGAGGTTGCTTAGATAACATTTAAACAGAAACTGGAAGGAGGTGAGAATGAGCTGTATAGATCAGGGGGAAGAGTGCCACAGAGTCAGGGAACAGTAAGTGGGAGGGCCCTGAGGCAGGAGTGTGCCTGGCATATTTGAGAAACCATGAGGAAGCTGATAGGACTGGAGTGAAAGGTGGATGGAGGGACTACAGGAGATAGATATAGTCAGTGTCTTTTGAGTTAGTGTCGGGAGTAAATGAAATTATTTCAGAACAATGAAAAACAACATGTATATAGCATGCTTTAATTTTCATAAAGTATCTCCTGATAAGGAAAGGAAAAATGTAAGTCCATGTAAATTAAAGCCCTAGTGGGATGTATTTGGATCTAATATTATTCACTTAGCTACTTACGTGCATAATTTATGACATCTACTTTATACATATTTTCATAAGGTTAAAGTAACTTAATCTACCTTTCCCACTGTTTTAAGTTGACTCTCCTTTTACATTTTTTAAGGCATCACATGTAGATACCATAATCTCCATTAGTGTAAGTTAGTACTAAAATAGCCGAGTTACTGTTTCCTTCTTTGTGGGAGACATGATTTCCAGATCATATAAAATCATCAAGACCTTAATTGCCTTCTTATGTTGGTATCCTTCTCAGGTTTTAAAATGTTGCCTAAAAACCAAATATATTTGTTCCAACAATATGCTTGCAAATGGCTATAAGATCATGTGCTAAGGTTGATTAAGAGCTAATATGACCCTGTACTGTCTGCTCACTAGGGGACATTTATCTGTTAAATACTCATCTTTTGGGTAAGGTAGGAGATGACAAATCTTTATATGTGTCAGGCTAATGTCTCCCTGGACTTCCTGAACTACAAATCCAACTTTGAGCCCTTCTTCATGATGATCGCCACTCCAGCGCCTCATTCACCTTGGACAGCTGCACCTCAGTACCAGAAGGCTTTCCAGAGCATCTTTGCACCAAGAAACAAGAACTTCAACATCCATGGAACGGTAGCTTCTCCTAACCCTTGTATTCAGCCATACTCAGTATGATTAGCTGTATGATATACTTACCAGGAAGCCTTTAAGCCATGTAGTGAGTTTTTCTTCACAATCTTTGAGAGGTAATTGTACCTGTCCCTAGTAAAACAGATAGTATAAACTTGCATTGCAAGTACAGGTAAAGTTCCTGCTACCCATCCAGTGAGCAGCCAGAGAGTTGACAGAAATGGTAAAGAATGCCATCTTTCCCAGTTATAGGAGTATATCACTTGGGCTCTCCTGGTAACCTCTGTGTTGGGTCTCTTCCCTCCTGGCATAGCCGGGACTGCACCAGCCTCCTGGTGGCCCTCACTAGCCTTGAGGCATGGGAAGAAGTGGTGGCACAGAGCAATATGGTTGGAAAGGGAAGTTGAATGGAAAAATGAACCAGAGCAGGTGACATGATTAAAAGCCACAACAACTCACATATTTGCCTCATGTGCCAATTACTTATACTTCCCTTGACTTGAGGTATAGGCAGTTCCCTGGTTCAAAGACAGAAGGCCTCTATTGCCTCAGGTCTGTTATCCAGAAATTGTAATTGCTTGTTGTAGAAAGAATGAGTCTTAAACCCAGAACTGCCGCTTTCTAACTCAGTTCTGACCATGAGCAAGATGTTTAACTTCATTTTTTTCATCTGAAATGGGAGATCTTGATCCCTCATGGAACTATTTTATGAATTCAAGTACATAGAAACAACTAGCATATTGCCTGGCACATTATAAGCATGTGCTTGTTAAATAAAAATTTTAAAGCTGAGTGAACTGGGTTTTAAATTAGAGGACGATTCTCAATCTGTGTTCCAAAATAAGTTAAAAAGTTCCCGTGGTCAAGTAAGTTTGGAAACTTTGAGTTAAATAAGTCACTCTGCTACAAGACTTCTCAGAGTTATTCATGATTGAATGTAAATTTCTAGCAGGAGGATATGCTATATAGCATTTCTAAAGCTTAATAATTAAAGAACACTTTGAGGAGCATAGTTTGAGATATGGTGGCTTAGAGTTTTATGAATAGAGAAGAGAGAATTAATAGTATATGGGGACGTTTTTGTTTAAGAAATATGGCTCTTAGGCCGGGCGTGGTGGCTCGCACCTGTAATCCCAGCACTTTGGGAAGCAGATCACCTGAGGTCAGGAGTTCAAGACCAGCCTGGCCAATGTGGTAAAACCCCATCTCAAAAAAAAAAAAAAAGCCCCTTTTTATTTAAATGGAAGGACCATCTGGTTAGACTTGAAGTTAGGAAATTGCTGTGAGATTTTTTTAAGGATTTAGGATGATCGATATCTTGGCTAGGCAAAACTTAGAGGAAGGTAGACCAGGTATGGTGGCTTATGCCTATAATCCCAGCACTTTGGGAGGCCAAGGCAAGAGGATCACTTGAGGCCAGGAGTTTGAGACCAGCCTGGCAAACATGACGAAACCCCATCTCTACTGAAATACAAAAATTAGCCAGGCATGGTGGTACATGCCTGTAATCCCAGCTACTCAGTGGCTGAGGCATGAACATCATGTGAACCGGGAGACAGAGGTTGCAGTGAGCTGAGATCATGCCACGCACTCTAGCTTGGGCTTTGGCTGGAGTGCAGTGGCGTGATCTCAGCTCACTGCAACCTCCAACTCTGCCTCAAAAAAAGCAACTTAGAGGAAGGTAGAGTTATTTGCCCATTTTGTAACTGTAGTAGACCAAAGGCATATGATCAGAGTTGTAAATGTAATCTCGTTTTAGCCAGTAGTTTCCCAGTGACATTCTCTAAAATATCTTTATGCTGCTAACAGAGGAGCTAAGACCTTTTATGGTTTGGGAGGTGCTGGGAAGCTGAAGAACGAGAGATTGAGTTAATCTGCAGAAATTTCTATTTTAGGAACATAGGAGGGGAGGGAAGGTCTGAAGTTGCTTAAACAGGTTCCAGTTAGTTCCTTCTTTCTTAAGTAAGAGTGAAATGATTCTATTTATTATCTACTTGAGCAATCCAGTAGCTTACTGTGGTGACTTGGTGTTAACATTTTTTTTCTTCTAAATTTTAGAACAAGCACTGGTTAATTAGGCAAGCCAAGACTCCAATGACTAATTCTTCAATACAGTTTTTGGATAATGCATTTAGGAAAAGGTAAGAGCTGCCGCTACTTAACAATTTGAGTGGTTTTAAGGACCCTACACATCAGCTCACACAGAGGGGACCATACCACATTGTTGTCTCTGAAACAAAAATGGAGGGAAGCAAGTCAGTGGAAGAGAGGCTTCAGTGGGGCACCAGAAGCAGAGAGATTCCTTTACACTCAAGTGAATGAGGTGACCTTTGGACCCCAGTACTAATTAGACCATTTTCAGGACTTGGCAAAAATACTGCAAACTTGAACCATGTGGTAGAATTTTTTTCTCCTGGTTTAAAGAAAAGGTCACTTGGTTGAGAAAGCCCATTATCGTCTGTCACAAAAGACCCAAAAGCTTAGACAAGATCAAAATATATGCTTTTGCCATTTGGAATTTTCAAGGAATTCTCTTATGGCAATTTTTAAAAACCCATTACTTAGGAAGTGTTTAGACCAGTGGCAAGCAAACTTTTTCTGTAAAGGGCCAGGTAGTAACTATTAATCACTCACAAGTTGCACATTCTGTCACAACTACTCAGTTCTGCTATTGTAGCACAAAAGCAGCCCTGGATAATATGTAAATGAATGAGCGTGGTTGTGATCCAATAAAACTTTATAAAAACAGACAGTGGGCAAGCTGTGGCCCATGAGTGATAGTTTGCCAACTCCTAGTTCAAACATACTAAGCTTTTTTGTAACACAGGTCTATCTGAATTAATCTGTAGTACAGTATTGAGAATGGACAACTGTCCCTTCTGATTGTCTCTACTCTCATCACCATTGGCAATAAAAAGTAAAGCTAACTGGTTATTTTAAAATGAGTTTATTTATTTGGAAACAATTAACTTTGGAATGAATTATGTTTTGGAATTTTCTAATTTTTTAAACAGGATGTCTTTGGTTTTTTGTTTGTTTGTTTGCTTGTTTTGGCAAGATAGTAATACCTCAGTCATTGGCCCTGAAGTCCCATTTCTACCTTCTGTTCACATCCAGGTGGCAAACTCTCCTCTCAGTTGATGACCTTGTGGAGAAACTGATCAAGAGATTGGAGTTCACTGGGGAGCTGAACAACACTTACATCTTCTATACCTCAGACAATGGCTATCACACAGGTCAGAGGCAGGGGTAGACACTGCTGTGATCTTTGACAACATGTCTTTCCTTTTTCACCAATCAGCCCTGGCAGGGAGTTCTAGTCTTTCTATAACTGTGGACCTGCCAGAGGGAGGGTCTTGCCCTCAGGACCCCTCCAGTTAGAGCACCACATCATTCCCACATGGAGAAACCAGGTTTCATTATTTGCTGTTTCACATGCAAGATGACAATGGTGTTCTAGGAGTGGGAGCAGAGTATGAGCTTGATGGGTTGGAGGCAGGCCATATGGAAGGCATTTATGACAGGAAGACCAAGAGAAGGTTGTCTTGTGACGAAAACTCTATCTTGCCAATCATGGAATTTGTTTTTTGGGAGTTTTTGTTTTTTCAAAATCTGTAGGATGAGTCGGCTCTGTGTCCTTGACTTTCATGCTTTCTACTTGGACATTCTGTTGTTAAAAGCAAACGTTTCGTTTTTTCCACATATGTAAATGTCCGCTTGAATGAGATTCACTTGAGACTTCCTTGCATAGGAGGAGATCACTTAGGCATTTAATACATTATTGTGATTTTTGTTGTTGAGACAGAATCTCGCTCTGCCGCCCAGCCCAGAGTGCAGTGGTGTGATCTTGGCTCACTGCAACCTGTCACCTCCCAGATTCAAGCGATTCTCCTGCTTGAGCCTCCCAAGCAGATGGGGCTACAGGTACACGCCACCAGGCCCAGCTAATTTTTGTATTTTTAGTAGGAATGGGGTTTTGCCATGTTGGCCGCTGGTCTTGAACTCCTGACCTCAGGTAATCTGCCTGCCTCGCCTCCCAAAGTCCTGGGAGTACAGACGTGAGCCACCATGCCCAGCCTATGAATATTTTTAAACACTCAAAGTAGAGAGTAGTAAAATAGCATCTGGCTTAGATTTTCAGCTGCATGTGGCCAGTCTTTTGAATTCTTCCTACTCTCCTTGTGTTTTTCTTTTGTTGCTAGAAGGTTTTGAAGCAACTCCCATACACATGATTCCAGGCTTCAATACCTGATTATGCATTTGACTCTGGTTATTATGTATCAAGATGCAGACGGCTGGCCCGGTGGCTCACTTCTGTAATCCCAGCATTTTTGGAGGCCGAGGCAGGTAGATCACCTGGGGTCAGGAGTTTGAAATCAGCCTGGCCAGCATGACAAAACCCCATCTTACTAAAAATACAAAAATTAGCCTGGCGTGATGACATGCATCTATAGTCCCAGCTACTTGGAAGGCTGAGGCAGGACAATCACTTGAACCCTAGAGGCGGAGGTTGCAGTGAACTGAGATCACACCACTGCACTCCAGCCTGGGTGACAGAGCAAGACTCCATCTCAAAAAAAAAAGATACAGAGAAAGTCCACATACTACCTTTAGTTCTTATGTCGCCTGTCATTTGCCACGAATTTATAGGGAGAAGTGGGTCTTTTGTGCCATCAGCATGTCTCACCTTCTGAATTTGGTTAAATGCAGTTTTATAGTGCCATGTTCATCTCTGCTCAGCATTTCCTATAGATTGGTAGTTAGATTAGGGACTTGATAGAAATTCACATTTTCAGGTGACAGTGCATCCTTGCTTGCTGCTGACTTCCTATTGCATCATGTCATGAGGTCCGTGGTGTCTGGTTGCACTGTTTTGGGAGTGCTGGTGTTGATAGATGGATCAGGTGATTTCAGCCTGACCTGTTGCTATGAGCTTTTCTTTTGTTCCATTGATGATTGTTGCCTAAATCCATTATTTCCTCAGAAATTGCAAAATGTCCATTTTGTAATCCTGTCCTTTCTTTTGTATTTATTAGCTGGAATTCCTCAGGGAAGAATTTCCCCTTATCAATTATTTGGTGATCTTGAGATGCAGTTCATTCAGGAAACACAGGATAGGTGTTTTTGTTCGTTTGACAGTTTTTGGAGTAAACCTCACTCAGTTGTGATGAGGCTGAGTTGCATGCATAAATTTTTATGTATTTCTGTTTCAATACTTTCCTGTCATTATGTTTGCTCATTTTATCCTATCATAAGCCAGGGAGTCCCTTGTAGTCATTTATTTAGAGAAGATGAATTCGTCGTCTTCCTGCCTTGTAGTAACAACAGACCCAGGCAAATTTCAGCTTTCTATTAAAACACCAGAATCAGTAGAACAAAGTTGTTTTAGTGTTTGCTATGGATTAAATGAGTGAAACATAATATGAGCAAGACTCCTGTCTTGGCTCCACCTTCACCTTGTGTGTTTTGTTTTCAGGACAGTTTTCCTTGCCAATAGACAAGAGACAGCTGTATGAGTTTGATATCAAAGTTCCACTGCTGGTTCGAGGGCCTGGGATCAAACCAAATCAGACAAGCAAGGTAGGTGCCTGACAAGCCGGTGCTGTGGACAGGTAGGTGCTTCCTGAGAAAATAAGGTGTTTCCTGCTGAGAGAAGATTGGTTAGGTTCCTCTTCCCACTAGGGTGAAGGCTGAGCAGCAGAAGAGCTTTTAAGTGGAAACAATGATTTCTTTTTTTTCTTTTTTCCCCCTTAACTTGCTACTGTTCTCTATAATCTGTGTTTTCACCCCACATATACATGTCCCATTAGGATGCATAGCTTTTATTTGTCTTTTGAGACTAGATCTTTACTTTGTTCTGAAGCAGTGACTCTGAACAGAAGATATGCATCAAAATCGCCCTCTGAAACTGCAGAAGAAAAATGGTACATGCTTGGGCAATATCCAGAAAGAGTGTGATTGACTCACTTGGTCTAGGGTGACCCAGCATCTGCCTTTTTTCTTTAAGTTTACAGATGATTCTGAGAGGCAGCCTGGTTTGGCACCCACTGCCTTGCAGAGCAGAGCTCCTCAAGCTTTTCTGTGTATGTGAATCCCCCGGGGATCTGGTTAAAATGCAGATTCTGCTTCTCCATTTCTGACCAGCTCCCAGGTGATGTCTGCTGCTGGCCTGACCTCGCTTTTGAATATAAGGCTATCAAAAACATGTATTCTGGGAATTAGTCTTGCCTGTTCTGGACTCTTCCTTACAAATGCTTTGGTGCTGTCCTGGTTCTCTCTCCTAGAACTGCCATCATATGCCACACTGTTGTTGCTCCTATTTGCTTTCAGTGTCTTTTTCCAAACGTGGTACCTAACGCTGAGGCACTTTGTTCCTAGCGATCGTGAGGACCTTCATCTAAAACACTGTCCTCCAAAACTCAGGAGATAAGCATTGACAGGCTCTACCAGCTATGTCTTCTCTCCTTCCCGATCTCACAATTTCAGTTTCAGTCCCAGTTCGGTGAGACCAAAGAAGATGAACAAATATACACTTTAAGCTAAAATTAAAAAGCGGATTTTTAAATGGGCCAGACTTTCTGGGTATATTGGGTACTTTAGTTTCATTTTGGAGCTTAATGTTTACTTGTTTAAACATCTGTTTTTCACTTATTTCCTTTTACAATTAAAATTCTCTGGGAAGGATGAAATGGCCTTCGTAATTACCTTTTGTGTTTTTCTCTTAAGACCCACGTTCCCTAGCTAGTCACTTTTCCCTACGAATTTCAGTGCCTTCTAAACGGGCTTCCTCTTTCAAAGGAGATATGCAAGTTTGGAAGACCATTAAATCTTAAAAGTGTTTTCTTGAGGTTGGTGTTTGGAACTGATTGAGGAGAACGTGTCAGCAGCTATGTTCTGTTTTTAGGAGCAGGGCTCCCCCAGCCCACATATAACCAGCATAGGGAAGGAGGCTGAATGAGATCATAATGAAATGTGTTGACCAGCTGCCTGTGGAAAAAATGGTTCCTTTTTTCCTTTAATATTGCTATTTAAATGTTAAAAATCAGAAACTTCACCTTCTCTAAGCAATCTAAATGAAGTCTGGTTCCTAGGAAGCCATTTGAACAATATGACTAACATTTATTAAGTGTTTAGTATGTGACAGGTGCTATTCTAAGTGTATTACCTGAATCAGCTCACTCAATCCTCACAGTTTATGAGATAGAGGTACTGTTACCCTATTTTGCAGTTGAGGAAACTGAAGCAGAAAAGATGATCACACAGTTAAAAAGTAGCAGAGCCCTGAATTTGAACTGGGGCAGTCTGGCTCCAAAGTCTGTATACTTACCATTATATTATAGCTCAGTCAACAAGTATTACCTTCTTTGCCAGCACAGTACACCAAGGAGCCTTGCATATGGCAAGGAGCAAGCAAACAAGATCAGTTCTTAAATCCCTGTGTCAGGGAGCACCAGATACTTAAGCTACAATGGTCAGTGAAAGCCTCTGAGGCATTTGAGCAGACAGGGATACTGAGAAGGATTTAGCCATGCAGAGATCCGTCGGAAGAGCGTCCTGAGCAGGACGGTAAATGCGAAGGCCCAGATGTAGGGATAAGCTAGGTTTGTTCAACAGTTGGAAGGTAGCAGTTGTACTGAATTCCTTGTCCTTCCTAAGTGCACCTTCTCTCTCACCTCCTGGCCTTTGAGGTTGGTGTTTGGAACTGATCAAGGAGACTGTGTCAGCAGACTGCTCCTTCTTTCTGGAATGCCCATCTCGTACCCCCTTCAGCTGGCCAACTTAATTGTCCTTTAGGGCTTTGGTTTAGGGCTCCCTCCGGGAAGTCACTTCATACTGCTGCTCCCACATGGGGTCAATGTCCTTATTATATGTTCCCAGCTCGCCTCACACTTGTCACACCCTATTGAGTTTGTCTTTTTTAGTCTAGGGTGTCCTAGAAAAGAGGAACTATCTAAACTTAAAAGCCCCTAGCATACACTAGGGAACATCCACGTTGGTTGAATGGATTTTGCCAAGGTTGCAAAGTGGCAGAACAGGGACTGAAAAATTAAGTCTGTGCATTCTCAGAATCCATGTTGGTTTTGTTTTGTTTTGTTTTTTTGAAACAGTGTCTCTCGGTCACCCAAACTGGAGTGCAGTGGTGTGATCTCAGCTCACTGCAACCTCTGCCTCCCCAGTTCAAGCAATTCTCCTGCCTCAGCTTCCTGAGTAGCTGGGACTACAGGCATGCCACCATGCCCAGCTAACTTTTGTATTTTAGTAAAGATGGGGTTTCACTATGTTGGCCAGGATGGTCTTGATCTCTTGACCTCATGATCCGCCTGCCTCAGCCTCCCAAAGTGCTGGGATTACGGGAGTGAGCCACCAGCCCCAGCAGGAATCCATATGTTTTTACATTGCTGCATTGACAGATGTAATTTGAGAAGCATGAAATGCCCCAGCCTTCCCCGAGCACAAGGAATGTCAGAGACGATGGGTGATGCATCATGTGTTGGCAGCTCAGTTGTCTCAGTGCCAGCCATTCTGTGTGAGTGACACAGGGTTGTGAGTTGGGCATAATGAGCTGAGCTGAGCTGTCAACAGCCTTGACAGCCACATCAGTGCACATTTAACTGACTGGCAGACTTAGCTGTGTGTTGGCTGTGTGGGAGAACTGGGGCAAGGTCTTACGTGTAGATGCCAAAGATTGGCTATTGACGTTTTTCTCCTCTGACTAGTCTAGCTTTAGATTAGGTGGTAGGAGTTCTGCAAAAGGAATTATAGAAAGGAAAAGGTTAGTAGGAAAACTAAAATGCTACAGCATGGTCCCAGGGAAATAGAACTGAACTGGGAGTCAGGAAGACCACCTATTGGCTTTGAACAAAATAAGCCTTCGTTCCCCTAGTTTTGTGAAAGTAAGAGGATGTTAAGCCTCCATTTTCGGATGGGACCAGGTGATGCCCCAGCTTCTTCCTTATCAGGAAAGCTGGCACTGAGGGGCAAGTGCAGCTGAAGCAACCAAAATGTGAGGATTCTGAACTTTCTCATGCAGTTACAGTGCTTTTCACTAAATGGATTTGGGGTGCTTTCTGGTGTGCTTGGAGCCTTTTTGATAACCCTGGAGAGATTCAACATCAGGGTTTCGGTGTCTGTTTGGAAACCTGATGTGTTCTGACAGCCCATTGCCATCTTGTTCTTTTCAGTAATTATGCAACAGTGTCATTCTTTCAGAGCAAGAATAAGTAGGTTCAATGCTTAATTCAACACCCCTTGAATTAAGCCCCAGGAATTTTTTTGTTTTTGTATTTTGAGACAGGGTCTCAATCTGTCACTTAGGCTGGAATGTAGTGGCACAAGCTTGGCTCACTGCATCCTCCGCCTCCTCAGGTGATCCTTCTACCTCAGCCTCCCGAGTAGCTGGGACCATAGGTACATACCACCATGCCCAGCTAATTTTTGTTTTGTTTGTAGAGATGCAGTTTTACTATGTTGCCCAGGCTGGTCTGGAACACCTGGGCTCAAGCAGTCAACCCTCCTCGCCTTGTTACAGGCATGAACTACCATGGCCAGTCTACCCCAGGGTTTTCTAGGGACTTTCATTTGATTAGGATATTTATGTACTTAAATCCTAAGAACATTCTCAACCTGAGGGAGTGTGATTTATGAAATAATTTATCATTTTGGCTGGGCACGGTGGCTCATGCCTGTAATCCTAGCAGTTTGTGAGGCCAAGGCAGGTGAATCACCTGAGGCCAAGAGTTTGAAACCAGCCTGGCCAACATGGTGAAACCTCATCTCTACTAAAAATACAAAAATAAATAGGTCATGGTGGTAGGCACCTGTAATCCCAACTACTTGGGAAGCTGAGGCAAGAGAATCACTTGAACCCCGGAGGCAGAGGTTGCAGTGAGCCGAGATCACACCATTGCACTCCAGCCTGGGCAAAAGAGCAAAAAAATGTGTCTCAAAAAAAAAAATTATTTTTGGTCTTGTCAAAGCTTTTTCTGCTCCAATCCATAAATGAAGTTTTTGTTTTTTTGAGATAGGCACTCTGTCACCCAGGTTGGAATATGGTGGCTCAAACATGGCTCACTGCAGCTTGGCCTCCTGAGCTCAAGTGATCCTTCTGCCTTGGCCTCCCAAAGTGTGGGGATTATCAGCAAGAGCCAGTGTGCCTGGCCCATAAATGAATTTTTAAGTTTACACTAGACAAAAGCAATACCCTGAAACTAATGTTTCTCAAACTCATCACAGTGATGGGTGAATCCATTCAAATTATTGATTATATAAAAACCAGAGGTAGGTATAATTCTTTTTAACTCTTCATTCTTACTTGGCATTCACTAGAAATCTCCCATCTCCTGATACAGTATGCTAATTTTGAGACTGTCTGCTTATTCAAGTAAAATTCTAGAAGAGGGGAGAATTTATCCATTATATTTAAGGGGGTGTGATAATTATAGATTTCTAGGGAGAAAGAGTCCTGGAATGATTTGTGCTTATGGTACTTGTGTTGAATCTTAGTGACTTTGCAGTTATACTAGAACTTATCCCTTTCTCTCAAGGGAGCAAAATGCCATTAGAAGAGCCTCGACTGGGTGCAGTGGCTCATGCCTATAATCCCAGCACTTTGGGGAGGCCAAGGCAAGTGAATCACTTGAGTTCAGAAGTTTGAGACCAGCCAGGGCCAAGGCAGAAACTCCATCTCTACTAAAAATAAAAAAATGGAAAAATTAGCTGGGCATCATGATATACACCTGTAGTCCCTGCTGCTCGGGATGCTGGGGCAGGAGGATCAGTTGAGTCTGGGAGGTCAAGGCTGCAGTGAGCTATGATTGTGCCACTGCGCTCCAGCTTGGGTGACAGGATGAGCCTCTATCTCAAAAACAACAAAACAGGCCAGGTGCGGTGGCTCATACCTGTAATCCCAGCACTTTGGGAGTCCAGGGTGGGCAGATCACCTCAGGTCCGGAGTTCAAGACCAGCCTGACTAACATGGAGAAACCCCATCTCTAAAAATACAAAAATTAGCCAGGTGTGGCGCATGCCTGTAATCCCAGCTACTTGGGAGGCTGAGGCAGAAGAATTGCTTGAACCCAGGAGGCGAAGGTTGCAGTGAGCCAAGATGGTGCCACAGCACTCCAGCATGAGGACAGAGTGAGACTCCGTCTCAAAAAAAAAAAAAAAAAAATTAGCCAGGTGTGGTGGCACATGCCTGTAATCCCTTGAACCCGGGAGGCAGAGGTTGCGGTGAGCCAAAATCACGCCATTGCACCCCAGCCTGGACAACAAGAGCAAAACTCCATTTCAAAAAAAGCCACAACAAAACAAAAAGAGTTTCCCCCAACTCCAAAAAAAAGAGCAAGCCTCCCGTTATACAGGTAGTGGATGCTGCAATTTTTGGTGAGATAGCAGTCACGATTTTATGTCTCTGGGTTTTTTGATGTTTTCTCTTTTCTTTTAAAAGTGCCTTGGACATCATAGTAGTATCCGAGGAATTGGCTTCACCTCATTCATGGTACAGGCATCACTGAAGATCTGTTAGTGACACTTCAGGGTCTATGGATGTCTTGTTGTCTTGATCTAATTCTGGAGATGGTGTCTCCCTTTGACCTTCCTTTCCTGCTGTGATCTCTTCCATATTGACACTTAGACCTGATGACTGTTTTCCAAGCTGCTCAATTTGCCTGGGGGACTTGAAACCAGGAAAGTTATCTGTAACAGTGGGTCATGTATCATCCCAGGAGACATGGCTTTTGTATGTGAGGTTTTTCCCCTCTTCAGTAACATATGGATTACCTTTCTCCTAAAGTGTCTGCCTCTGAGTGGTAATTCCTGACAGCTGCAGAGTTAGACTAATTGATTGAGAGCCAGGATATTTATCATTCTGCCGTCCAGAAGCTATCCTGGCCATCAGGAAACCTGGCCCCTGATAATCATATTCTGAAGATTTTTTTTTTTTTTTTTTTTTTTTTTGCCTTTCCTATCTGTACTTTTGGTTTTGTTCTTAAATTAAAAGTGGCAGGGTTGCGGTGCTTTGTTTTGTTTGATCTCTCTGTTTGACCTCTCCTAAAATGATCTAAGTTTTCTCATCAGTTTTAAAGACTGTTATTTCCTGTCAGTAACTGATGGCTTTTCCAGTTATACGCTGTTAACTGCTCCAGTGACTTCTTGTGTTTCATTTCTTTGTGTATAAAATGGGGGAAACACTGTGTTTGAGGACTGTGATAAGGAATAAATGAGAGTAAACATCACATGCTTAGCACAGTACATTTCCCAGTTTTTCTCACTTCTTGTTTGTTACCCCCAGTGGGTGGTTTCACCACTTGAAGATTTTTCTAGCCTGTGACCAGGTGACTTCTATGCTTGAGTTCTGTGTAGGCCTGCAGTGTCCACTTGTGGCTGTTGAGCACTTGAAAGGTGGATAGTCCAAACTGAGATGTATTATTATTGTGAAACACCAGATTTCAAAGACTTGGTTCACAAAAAGTTAAATCTCATTTTTAAAAATATTGTTTACATATTGAAATATTCAGATATTTTTATATGGGGTTAAATAAAATATATAAAATTTTACCTGTGTTTATTTTAATGTGGTTATTGGACAATTTTTAATTACATTTAGGGTCCCCTTTATATTTCTATTAGGCTACTCTGGATTAGGGCCTGTAGAGGCATTGTTTACAAAAGGAAAACAGTCTGATAACCAAGGAAATAAGGCATAAATACAGGACAATGCCTTTAGTTTCTGGAATGTTTAAAAACATCTAAGTTTTATGCCATCAAAAAAACTTTTATTGCTACATTGTTGGAATAAATAAATTCCAAAAAATAAAAAATTTTCTGCAGCCTTCACAGCCTGTTGCAAACATATTTTGGCAATGTTGTCCCTTTGAGAAGCTATAAAAAGAGCTGATAATTCTCATTGGTGGCAAGCATTCCATTTTTGAGGCCTTCCAAAATGTCTGGAGTTCATTTGAAGTCAAATTTAATCTGAATAATCAAGTTGTAAGATGCTTTGTGTAAAATAATTGGACCAGCTTTTTTTCATGAGTCACAACAAACTCAAAGCAATCGCAGAGGAGTTTTTAAAAAACGTTTTTCTCAATAACAGAATGGGTAGAATAAATACGTAACTTCCCAGGGGTATATACTATTATACACACCTTATAAGCCTTTATGTTTTAAGTTATTGTAGTTATAGTTGAACATATGAAACAGTAAGACTAAAGTAAGCATGGGCTGTATAAAAGGTAATAGTAAGTATAAAAGGTGATAGTAAGTGCCGTTGTCTCATGGGTGGGGTGCAGGGGGAAGAGAACTTTAGTATAGATAGAAAAGGAAAATGAGACCAGTTGTGTTCTAGATTGTTTTTCCTTCATTCTCATAGATGCTGGTTGCCAACATTGACTTGGGTCCTACTATTTTGGACATTGCTGGCTACGATCTAAATAAGACACAGATGGATGGGATGTCTTTATTGCCCATTTTGGTAAGTATAAAGCCCTCCACGAGGCCTGAGCCAAGACCACAATAAATTCTGGGTTGTGTAAAGACTTAAAAATTTAAATATTAAATAATGCTATTAAATTTGGGAAGCAGAAAATCTTGTGGTGGGAAGGAGTTTTCTAAAAGAAAAAAGTAGACCACATGTGAAATTGAGAGCTGTTTCCTTTTGCTCTCCTCTAAGAACACCCACCATAAAGAAAGTGGTGACAGTTTGGGAACACATTTGCATCATTGTAAAAAAGAGTCATTAGTCCAAATACATGAGTTCTTAGCAAAGTTAATATCCCAGTGGGAAAATGGGCAAAAGAAAAAGTGGCTAATCAACTCACAGAAGAATTAAAAATGGCTAAAACAAATGCAAAAGGATTACTTCAGTGCTAATTACAGAAATGCTTAACTGAAGGAGACCTTTTTCATCTGTAAACTGGGAACGATTTTTTAAATACCCAGTATTTCAGAAGTCTGAGAATTTGGAAACTGTTTATATACTTTTCACACAAGTGTAATCAGTTTAACCTATCAGGAAGCTGGTTTAACAAGACGTACCACTTCAGAGTACACAGATCAAAAACAGACAAATTAACTTTTGCCTGTCTGGTGACTGAAAATGGCATTTGGTCTTACTGTGCATCTGTTAATAACATGAATTATTTTTTAACGACTTAATTCCCATACGATCCAATTCACTCATTTAAAGTGTCCGATGGGCGTGATGGCTCATGCCTATAATCCCAGCACTTTGGGAGGCCAAGGTGGGTGGATTACCTGAGGTCAGGAGTTTGAGACCAGCCTGGCCAACATGGTAAACCCCTGTCTCTACTAAAAATACAAAAAACTGGCTGGGCATGGTAGCAGGCACCTGTACCCCCAGCTACTCAGGAGGCTGAGGCAGGAGAATCACTTGAACCCGGGAGATGGAGGTTGCAGTGAGCTGAGATAGCACCATTTCACTCCAGCCTGGGCAACAAGAGTGAGAAACTCCATCTCAAAATAAATAAATAAATTTTTATTTTTAATGTCCAACAGTTGTTGGTATATTTAGAGTTGTACAACCATCACCATAATCTAAGAGCATTTTTATCACCCTAAACCCCCAAACACATTAGTCACTGTAATATAAGAAACCCGAAAACCCAAATTATCTAGTAGAGAATTGATTAAATTGTGGTGCAGGGAATTGATTAGATCTGTTGCTCCCATTCCCACTACAAATCTATATTATGTTTGTATAGAGTTGTCTGTTCTGAACTTTTCACGTAAATTACATAATATGTGGCCTCTGGTTTTTTCACTGAGCATAATGTTTTCAAGGATCATCTCCATTGAAACGTGTATCAGTACCTTGTTTTAGTGCCAAATAACATTCCGTGTGTGAATATATCACATTTTATTTAGCCATTCAGATATTTGGGCTGTTTCCACTTTTTGGCTGTTATGAATAATGCAACTGTAATGTTTTTGAGATAGGGTCTTGCTCTGTTGCGCAGGCTGGAGTGCGGCGTTGGCCATCACAGCTCACTGCAGCCTCAGTCTCCCAGGTTCAGGGGATCCTCCCACCTCATCCTCCCTAGTATAGCTGGAGCTACAGTCGCCAGCCACCACGTCTGGCTAATTTTTTTTTTTTTTTTAATTTTTAGTACAAGTGAGGTTTCCCTGCATTGCTCAGCTTGACCTCGAACTCCTGGTCTCAGATCCTCCCTTGTTATCCAAGAAGATTTTTAAGAAAAAAATCCTCCTGCCTTAGCCTCCTGAAGTGCTGGGATTGTGGGCATGAGCCAACACTTTCTATCATCTATCTTTGTGATTATTTTATTTTAGTAGGTGTGAAGTGGTATCTCATTGTGATTTTGATTTGTATTTCCCTGCTGACTGTTTAGCATTTCATCATGCGTTTGTCAGCCATTTGTGTGTCTTCTTTGAAGATGTGTTTATATTGGGATCCTTCGCCCAGTTTTTTTTTTGTGTTGTTCAGGGAATCACTTTTCATTTATACCATTTTGTTTCTTCTCTTGAGAAATGCCTCTGCATTTTTGCCTATGATAGTCTCCTTATTTATGACTTGTCTTTTCCATATATTAAGATATGGGAACCAGGTGCAATGGCTCATGCCTGTAATCCCAGCAATTTAGGAGGCTAAGGCAGGCAGATCTCTTGAGTCCAAGATTTCAAGACCAGCCTATGCAACATGGCAAGACCCGGTCTCTACAAAAAATACAGAAAATTAGCCAGGCATGATGATGTGCATCTGTAGTCCCAACTACTTGGAAGGCTGAGGTAGGAGGATCGCTTGAGCCAAAGAGGTGGAGGTTGTAGTGAGCAGAGATTGTACCACTGCACTCCAGGAATCGAATGTATATATTGTTTCTTTTAACAGTTAGCGTCTTTCGTATGTTTATAAAGATGCTTCTAAACTTTGAAGCCAGAAAACTATTCTCCCATATTTTCTTCTAAAGGTTTTATAGCTCTGCCTCCTATACCCAAGTCCTTGATGAATCTGTCTATCTCTGTACCAGTATCATTTTTTCTTATAAAGCTGTGTAACTAAATCTTTATTAGCATGGGTACACCTCTCTGCTAATTGTTCTGGTGGGGATCCTAGCCCCTGTCTTCACATAAACTCTAATCAGCTTTTCAGATTACTACCTGAGAAATGCTGGCTTTTGATTGGAATTGCATTTAACCTATAGATCATTTATGGGAAACTTTACATCTTTTAACTTTCTTCATACGAGTCTTATACTGTGTACCTTATTAAGTTTCTAATTAGAAAAATAAAACTTGATTCACTTTAGGGGTAAAAATCATTATGTTGTCTATAATTTCTCTGCACAGTTCTTAAAGTGCCACTTGAGACTTGATTCTTTTCCTCGTTCATGTTTTGTTTCTAGAGGTTATTCTGATGAAATACTGATATATTGGAACAGTTAAATAGCCATGTGTGGCTATTTATGTGAATTAACTAAAAATGAAATTCAGTTCTTCAGTTGCACTAGCTGCATATCTTGTGCTCAGTGGCCATCATATTGAACAGCAAAGATAGGGAACATTTTAACCAGAAAGTTCTGCTGGACTAGCAGTTGGCAGACTACAACCTGTGGGCCAAATCTAGCCCACCCCCTGTCTTTGTAAATAAAGTTATATCAGAACATAGCCACACTTAATGTATTGTTGATGGCTGTTTCCTGCTACCTGAGTAGATGTGACAGAGCCAGGAGCCTAAGTATTTACTCTGTGGCATTTTACAAAAAAAAGTTTAAGGATCCCTACAGACCATGCGTCTCAAACTTGGTCAGACATCAGAATCACTTGGAAACTAAAATACTAATGCCTGGGCCTCACCCCTGGAGATTCTGATTTAATTGGCATGAGATAGAATCCCTTGGGATTTTTGAAGTTTCCCTGGAACTTCAAAAATCCCAAAGTTCAGGAACCACTGATCTATACTTCTCAGATGCTCTTTTCTCCTCAGGACACTTTGACATTCAAGTGTGGGATTTTGAAGTTCACTCAATTCTGACAGTTCACTCGATTCCACTTTCCAGCTTCCAGCTTCTGTGGCTCAGGTTTGGCACCAGGAGCCTTTTTTTTTTTTTTTTTTCCCTGAGACAGTCTTGCTTTGTCGCACAGGCTGAAGTGCAGTGGTGCAATCTCGGCTTACCACAACCTCTGCCGCCTGAGTTCAAGCAATTCTGCCTCAACCTCCCAAGTAGCTGGGACCACAGGCGCATGCCACCATGCCTGGCTAGTTTTTTGGTATTTTTTAGTGGAGATGGGGTTTCACCACGTTGGCCAGGCTGGTCTCAACCCCCTGACCTCAGGTGAGCTGCAGAGCCAAGCCAGCATGAGCTTTTGAAGTCTCCAATGACTCATGATTTCTGAGATCCTGAGCTGCACAGGATTGTTCCTAATAAGTTAGGAAATAATTCCTATCTCACCCATTCCCCACCATACTCACCAGGTTAAGCATTCTTTAGAACAGTGATTCTCAAACAGGCATTCCCCAGAAATGCCTGTGGGATGTGCTAAAACCCAGGTTGCTGTCTACCTATGTTAGGAATTAAGAATTTTCATTTGTAAAAAGTTTTCAGGTGATGCTGCTTGTCCTGGGAGCCACACTTTTAAGAACCACTTTTTTTAGAGCAGTGCTGTTCAGAGGTCTTACTAAAATGCAGGCTTTGGCTTGTGAGAGCTAGAGTAGGACCTGAGATTCTGCATTTCAAACAAGCTCCCAACCAGACTTTGACCATTTTAAGAGCACCTTCTAACCTGGTCTTCCTGTCTTTCTATATCTCCATTCCCTCTCTGGATTCTGCTACGAGGCTGACTTTTCTAAATCACTGCCTTGATTGTGTTACCTCCCTGCTCAAAAACCTCCTATTATTTCTCATCACCTGCTGTTCTTTATAGGACGGGCCCAGGCAGCATGATATTTGGGGCCTTTTCCCGTGTGGTGCCAGCCTGCCTCTCCACCCTGTTACCTTGTCTGAAAGCTGGGTTTCAGGAAGCCACACTACTAAGTGGTCTGTGTTTAGCCTATGTTCATGCTCTTTAATCTAAAGCTTGTACCTATTCTTAGATTCTTTCTCCTTTCACCATTTGTGTCTCTCTTAAACTTGCTGCTTTCAAATGCTGCCACTTCTTTCCTTCCACACCATGAATGTACATTGAAGAGTGAGTTAATGTACTGTACCTGCATTCTGACCATCAAGAGGTGCTTTGAATCTGTTAACAGTCCTTAGCACACAGGTCTATTGAATATTTGTTTCTTTATTGTCCTTGTGTCTATTAGGTTATACATTCCTTAGTATGAGCATAAAACAGTTCTTAAATAGAGCATATGACAGTATTATGTGTTCTAGTCTGGACTTTTCAGCAACTTGCCCTGTGACTTTGATTCTTGCTTAGCAACCTTGTCAGGTTCCATTCCTGACCTGATTCACAGAAGTACCCTTGGAAAGGAACTATTAAATGTTCAAAGTATTTGACCATCATTTGTAAAGGCCCTTAAGTACCAAACATACAATTCAGTAGCTTTCATATGCACCTGTTTTAGTCATTCCCTTTAGTTACTGAATGAACAGTCTAGTTACTTTTGACTCCCAAGTCCCCTTCAGCAGTCAATTACTTTGTGATCTTTGTCATAGTCTATGTGCCTCACAAACTCTGTTTGCTCTTCTTTCTAGAGAGGTGCCAGTAACTTGACCTGGCGATCAGATGTCCTGGTGGAATACCAAGGAGAAGGCCGTAACGTCACTGACCCAACATGCCCTTCTCTGAGTCCTGGCGTATCTGTGAGTAATGGCTTGAATCGACTTAGGAAGCTTTCTCACAACACGGCAAGGTGCTGGTTTCGATCTGTCAAGTAGTAAAACCTTTCATTTGACTCCTGTTCCTTTGTCACTTGACTGTGGGTGGTTAGCAGACGGACAAAAGAAAATCCAGTGATCTTGGAAATGATGCTGCCAACCTGTCATCAGAATGTGCACTGTTAATTCTTCCAATTTATGTAACAAGTGCATGTATCCACCCATGTTCTTACCTTATCAATTCCTTCAATTCCTTTTCCCTGTTTTTCTACCCCTCCCAATAACAGTACCACTTTTTAAAATTAGGGATATTACTGGGGCATGCAGTAGAAAGATGTGGTTCCTGCCCGTAACCATGCTATTGTGAGTGTCTTGCATTGTTGGCAGCCGGGCAGGTCACAGAGAGGGTAACAGCCATGTTGGCCTCACTTTGGAGAAGGGAAAATAGGCTTCCATTTGGAGTTGATTGATTCTTCTAACACCAAAGTGTTACAGTATAATAACCAACCAAAAGTGCAATAACAGATCATATTGTAGACATAAGTTAGATTTAAGTCGTACTTGGTGATAAGAACACTCAAATAACTTACCTGCATATGATTCCGCAAAGCTCATTTTAATCTTTTCCTCCAACTTTTTAGGGTGACAGTTCCTAGTCATTCTTAGAAATGAGTCATTTGAGTTGATTTCTTCTCCTTGCCAACCCATACCTTTTACAGGTGCTCATTATAAGTAATTCTTGTCAGGAGTTTAGCAGACAAGGATGGCAACAATCTACAAATGGAACAACCCATATACCTTGATCAAGTTAGCCAAAGGAACAATGCCTCACATCTATGTTTGAGTTATTGGCTTCTCCATGGAAGGTTTTCTGATTGCTGCTAAATTGCATGTCTGGCATGAGCCAAACTGATGGTTTTTCTAGGCAACTAGGTATTTGTTACTATGAAAGAACTGTCTTCATTTAACTTTTAAAATATCCCTACAGCAATGTTTCCCAGACTGCATATGTGAAGATGCTTATAACAACACCTATGCCTGTGTGAGGACAATGTCAGCGTTGTGGAATTTGCAGTATTGCGAGTTTGATGACCAGGAGGTAAGAGGGATTTCTGCCTGCACGTACCCACTCCTTTCTTGCTTGTGCTTTGTTGGCTGGACTTGGTGGCAGAAGAGCAGTGCCAAGGCCGCTCCGTAGGGAAGAGGTTGTGTTTCTCATTTGTGCTTCACTTTATTTAGGTTTCCTTCACTTGTAAGGCCATGTCTCACTTCTCTAACTGTAATCCTTCTGAATGGGGTTTTCTCCACTCCCACCACTACCCAAATTCACAGTTTAAATGCACAGTTTGTTTTCAGAATGATACATGCTTTGTCTGTTAACTTCCCTGGTAGTTTGAGGTGAAAGTGAAATACCTCAACTTCACTTGAGTTGGAGCGTTTCCTAGAAAGCTTACCAGCAACTGGTGTATTCAGAAACTCCTGTTCCCACCACAGCAAAATCCAGTGCTGCTCTAATAGATTAGAGTGGGGGTTAGAGGCCCAGGAGTCCATCCATGGAAGAAGGTGGTTTTTAGCCTACACAGGTTGGTATGGATTATCTGAAGGATCCCATGGACTCTAGTCCCCTGTGGTTTCTTACTGTTTATCAGCATATGCACACCTGCCCCACCTGGCAACCTTCATCTGACCATCTGGAGCAGATGCCCATCTGTGTTTCTCAGAAATGGACTCATTCTCCACTCCATTTGCAACTTATAAGCACTTTGGACAATAAGCAAGAGACTTCCCTTAAACTGTTTCCCGCTCCCACATGATGTTTATCAGTTTGATAACTACTTTATAAGTAGTTTTAAGTGTGAGGGCAGCTGCCTGAAGCCATTATAGGCAAAATTACCTACCATCTTTCTAGCCTAACATTTGACTCCAGTTTGGAGAACAGCATACAGATTATAGAGGGAAAAGTTCAACCTCTCCTATGTTAGAAATGATAATTAGTACTGTATCCTTCCCCAGTATATCCACAGCTACTTTTTAAATAGGAAAACTTAACATTTGTATCACACAGGCAAGAGTACTTTCATATCCATTCTCATTTGAAGTTTACAATTCTGTGGCAAAAATCACCTTTGAATGTTTGCTCTCACTTTAGTAACTCTATTACCGAGTCTTGTTTCTGAGACCTTGCCATGGCAGGTTCCTGCCTTCGGTTCTGTTTTAATTGCAGAAGATAATGTATTTCCCCCACATCCCCCTCTTGCCTCTGCCTGAAGGTACAGGCTGTGCAAGGGCCCCTTTTTAGCATGTGGCTGGAGACCCCAAACAGCTGAACCCCCAGAACAGATGCTTCCTCGTCTCAAGGAAACAGTGAGCTCTTTGAGGATATTGAGAGCAGATTGGGTCTCCAGGGCCGTGGTTTTTTTTATCTTCCTCTTCCCTTCCCATTTAGAAATAAGTCACATTAAGAGTATTTCTCACATCTAACCCTTGGTCTTTTCTTTCCTCCATGCTTTCATTTCTTCTAGGTGTTTGTAGAAGTCTATAATCTGACTGCAGACCCCGACCAAATCACTAACATTGCTAAAAATATAGACCCAGAGCTTTTAGGAAAGATGAACTATCGGTTAATGATGCTACAGTCCTGTTCTGGACCAACCTGTCGCACTCCAGGGGTTTTTGACCCCGGGTAAGTTTCCTTTCTCTTCATTTACTTGGCCAGGATTTTTTCTATTAGTCATGCTGTTCTTGAAAACAAAGGGAGCCCTTTTTGCTGTGAGATGATGATGATTCTTGTGCTTTAGAGGAATACTGTGTTCTTAGTGCATCAGCCTGTTGCGCTGGGAAAATAAGCTTTGGAAACTTTTGCTCTCCACTGCCAGTTGCTGCTTTAGCCAGTGGTACAGCCTTGCTTCCCACCAAATTTGGGGCTCTTCTTTTCCTGCTATGATTATTGTCATGGTACCACTTGATTGCACTGGTGACATTTGGAGCTTCTTTAAGCTGCGATTCTCTACTGCTGTTCACTAGAGCTTCCAAGAGTATATGCCTTCATTTCATTCCTCAGAAACCCCTATTACAGAAACTTGAATGTTTGCTAAATGTATTAAACACACAATGAAAACAGAAGGTGTAAAGTCACATGTTGAAATATATAAGCCCACTGCAGGATATGGAGGTATAAAAGATGTTTAGCTACCACCTGCTAAGTCAGATTTGTTCCCCACACTATCCCTCTTAGTAACTTCTCAGCATTAACTCTGGGTGTCAGTATACCAGGTATTTGAGCTGCCGGTGGCAGGAAGCTTGTCATTTATTTTTTTCTTGAAGGTCATGAAATTTAAAAATCAAACTTTTTTTTTTTTTTTTTTTTTGAGACGGAGTTTCACTCTCGTTACGCAGGCTGGAGTGCAATGGCGCGATCTCGGCTCACCGCAGCCTCTGCCTCCTGGGTTCAGGCAATTCTCCTGCCTCAGCCTCCTGAGTAGCTGGGATTACAGGCACGCGCCACCATGCCCAGCTGATTTTTTGTATTTTTAGTAGAGACGGGGTTTCACCATGTTGACCAGGATGGTCTCGATCTCTTGACCTTGTGATCCACCCGCCTCAGCCTCCCAAAGTGCTGGGATTACAGGCGTGAGCCACCGCGCCTGGCCCTAAAAATCAAACTTTCAATGGGAAAGGAGTATTTTAGTTCTTATATTCAGACTGTAGGAGAGGGAGGAATTATGTCCTAAGTTGATGTAAAGTTATCACTTAATTTTTATTATCTTGGTGTTAATCTTTAGTCCAAATTAGAGACAGATGAATGTGAATGAGTAGAAAAACTCGATTATAGACTATTCATTGTTTGCTTTTAAATAATGTATATAAAGCCAAAGTGACATAGATACCAGTAAACTAAGACCAGATAATATAAAAACATATTTATCATTATATCACTTAAACGAAATAACTGTTTTTATATGGATAATCCCATTAGTACAATACAAATGGTCAAGGATTTTGACCACCTCGTTTTGATCTTTCCTCTAAGTTAGTGAAATAGATCTTAGCTTAGTACCAGTTACCTGAAATAGGAAGTTGATTCCCTAAAATAAAAGCACAAGACTTCCAGTTTCCATGTGCTGACTTCGCAATTTCCAGCAGTTACTTAGCTCAGAATGTTCTTTTAAACCGTATTAAGTTAGATGTCTACAGCAGTGAATGCTTTTTAACCATATACTCTTTGGCTGACTCTGGGAACTTAAAGCCAACATCTGACTAAATTTTAAATGGAGGGTCAAGGGACTGGATCTCTTGGATGATGATATGTGACCAAATAGTCCCTAACCATCCCACTGCTAGGACATGGACTTGCCAGGCTGGCATCTGGTTGGCCAGTACAAGGTAAATGTAGCCAGTTGTCTGTTTCTTCTGAACATCTGGCTCTAAGTGTTAGAATTCATTCAATTTCCATACAGCCCTTAGAGCCCAAACAGGTAAATTTCAAATGAGGAAACTGAGCTTGGAGTTGTGATTTGCCCAAGGGCTGCCCTATAAGGAACTGAATACATTGTCTATTTCCTAAGCAAGTTTTGTGTGGTTTTTAACTGCAACAAATTGTCCTGCTCGCATTTTAGAAGGTTATAACTAAAGTTCTAGATGCTGGCTTTGCTGATGTTAGCCTGAACTACTTAAACTTAACCTGATTTTCTGTTTTAAATTCCTTAGCCATGATTATGCTTTTCCTATCAAACATTTGGGCCTATTGAGTCCTCCATGGCGGGATCATCAGACCAGATCCTGTGAGCCCAGTCTAGCCCCACCTGCTGGAACAGAGCCTCACATATTCATTTTCCTGGTTTTGGCTGCTTGTGTGCTTCAGCAGCAAAGGAGAATGGGCAGGACAGAGACTGGATGGCTCCCATACCCTAAAACATTTATTATCTGGCCCTTTACAAAAAACGTTGGTCAATTGCTGTTCTAAAATGCAGTACAGTAGTCCCCACTTATCCACAGAGGATCTATTCCATGGACAGTACCAGGCCCAGTCGCCATCAGTCGGAAGATGGTTCTGTTCATGTCTTCTGCCCACAAATGTTATGCCTTTTCCATCTTAACTAAGCTTCTGTCACGTACTGTGGCCCTAACTTTTGCGGTTTAAAGTATGGCAACAAAACTAGCATGAATTCTTTTTTCCTTCTTCATGATTTCACAGATAGAAAATTCATTCTTAGCTAGGCACGGTGGCTCACACTTGTAATCCCAGCACTTTGGGAGACCAAGACCAGGAGTTCTAGACCAGCCTGGGCAACATGGTGAAACCCTGTCTCTACAAAAAAAAAAAAAAAAGAATACAAAAATTAGCCAGGTGTAGTGGTGCACACCTATGATCCCAGCTACTTGGGAGGCTAAGGCAGGGGAATTGCTTGAGCCCGGGAGGTGGAGGTTGCAGTGAGCCGAGATTGTACCACTACATTCCAGCCTGGGCTAGACTGTGACTCCATCCCCATGCCAGCACCCCCACCAAAAATGATTAATGCTCATGGTGAGCTGCTATAGGTCTTAGCAGTCTCGCTGTAGATCTTAGCAGTCCTGCTGTACGATTTTTTTCTTAAGAGCATTCACTTTTTCACTTAAAGGACGCACTTTATGGCTCCTCTTTGGCATTTGTGAATTGCCAGCACCACTACTCTTGTGGTTTGGAATCACTATTAAATAAGGGTGACTTGAACACAAGCACTGTAATAGTGCAGCAGTTGATCCACCCCTACTCCCTCAAAAGAAAAAAAAATCTTGCTGCCTTCTGACACCTTTCAAAACTAACCTACTTATCTTTCTCCTCTTGAGTTGCACTGTGTGACTGTGTGCTGACTGGGGATGGAAATGTTCTGAACTGTCGAGTGCTATGTTTTGTACCATAGACTTTCTCACTAGAGTCCCGTCTGGTGATTTGTTTCTTTTGCATGCCTTTCTGCTGTCCTTTCCACTGAATAATATTCTGAGTGAGAAGCTAGAGAGAATTAATGTTACAGTTGGTTTTTCCTCCCCAGATACAGGTTTGACCCCCGTCTCATGTTCAGCAATCATGGCAGTGTCAGGACCCGAAGATTTTCGAAACATCTTCTGTAGTGACCTCACACAGCCTCTTCAGTTGGATCCCTGCACGCCTCTTTCTGATGAAGTGATTGTAGTAGGTGTCTGTAGCTAGTCTTCAAGACCACACCTGGAAGAGTTTCTGGACTGGCTTTCAGTCCTGTTTGAAACAGCAACCCCATCGGCTGACTTCCTCGTGCAATGCGTTCAACTGTGAACTCTGCCTGTGTGTCAGGAGTGGCCGTCTCTGGTCTCTTCTTCAGCTGATAAGGACACTCTGAGGTATTTGTTCTCACCATATTCTTTCTGTCCTGGGGCCGCAATTCTTGATTATTCCTCATGTGGTTAAAGTCTGAATTTGTAAATCCATTCAGATAAATGGCAGTACTTTAGGACACACACTCCCCTCCCTACCTTTGGATATAGCTTGACCTAAAATCGAAGGACCTGTGTAGCATTTCACATTGAGCACCTCACTATCAAAAATACTAACATCACATGGCTTGAAGAGCAACCATCAGAGCTGAATCACCCAAGTAAGAACAAGTACCATTGTTGATAGATAAGTAGAGATATATTTTTTATGATGTCCATCACAGTGTGGTAAGGTTGCAAATTCAAAACATGTTACCCAAGCTCTGTTCGGTTTTTTTTTTTTGGGGGGGCGGGGGGAATTCTAGGCTGGTGCTGCATTGAATTAGAGCAGCAAGCTTGTGATAAAGGCCAATTCCAGGTAGCTCTTGAAGGTGATAGCCATCTACTTTCCAGTCGCTGCCAACCACAGGGAGTGCCAGTTAACACTGGAAGGACTGAGGAAAGGTCTCTTCTCTTGAGACTCCCTCTGAGGTCTGAAAAGTAAAGTGTAGGAACATCACCAGGGAAGAACTGCCAAGAGTTGGTGAAGGTTGTGTCTTCTGAAGACAGTGCTCTTGAATAGACAGGTGGAAGGGCTGTACCTGGGATAAAGGAAGGAAGTGTCTCTCTAGCAGGGAGCTTGAGTTTCAGTTGCATGCATGAAGTCATTGACTCTCTCTGCATTTTTCTGTCATTCTGTTCATTTGTTTTAAGATGGAAAATTTTCTTGTAGTTGATGTGAAGTATCAACTACTTTACCCTGCCTTCTCCCTTTTAGATGGGTTCTTCCTGAGTTTTTGGAGTCTTGTGTGATTAGGGCCCCATTCAGTATTCCCCCGTCAAAATCACATCTATTTAGGTTTCTTCACTGTTGAGAACACCTAAATTTTTTTTAATTTTACTTTTTTTTTTTTTTTTTTGCAGGGAGGAGGGGTGGACAGTCTTGCTGTGTTACCCAGGCTGGAGTATAGTGGGGCAATTTCCGCTCAGTGCACCCTCAGCCTCCTGGGTTCAAGGGACTCTCCTGCCTCAGCCTCCTGAGTAGCTGGAATTGCAGGCACCCACCACCACACCCAGCTAATTTTTTGTATTTTCAGTAGGGACGAGGTTTCACCATGTTGGCCAGGCTAGTCTCAAACTCCTGACCTCATGATCCACCCACCTGGCCGAGAACACCTAAATTTTTAGGTTTCTTGGCTCAAAAACCAATTCCATTTCTAATGTTTTCTTCACAAGAAGGCTAATTTGTGGTGAGACAGCAGGGGAGGAGGAAGAGCTGTGGTTTATAACTTACTCAACTCAGGCGATAAGCGATTTTAGCTTTATTTAAAGTCTTCTGTCCAGCTTTAAGCACTTGATAAGACATGGCTGAAAGTAGCTTTTCTATCAGAATTGCAGATAGTCATGTTGGGTAAACAGCCATTGGATTTATTACTTTACCTCACATGATCCCAGCAACTGTGGTGGTATCTAGGCAAGTGAAATGAACACCTCTGCTGTGAATGTTTTACAGAAGGAAATTCAAAAAAATGTTGTAACTAAAAGCAAACTACATTGTTGAATATGGGTTTCGGCTTTCTTTTTCACTTTGATTCTTAACATTATCAGTCAACTTCCACATTAATGAAAGTTGACCATAGTTATTTCCAAATAAAAAGAAACCAACTCTTACCAGGTCTTGGACTGTGATGTCATATTATTCAGTTTTATGCTGGTTCCTGAGAGCAGAAGTCATAAGAGTGACACAGTCAGCTGCTGATAGCACCTCTGCCACACTGCTCTTACATTCAGTTCACTGGGTGTGCTTCAGTGGTGGGATATGGTGTGCCCCTGTCTCTACACTCTTCTAGTTTTCGTATATTTCCTATCTAGCCTTCAAACAAACAGCTTCCAGTTTTAGTTTTTTTCTTGGACTGGCTTCATTCTGAATCTGTGCTAAAATCGTCTTTCATAAAGAGACCTCACTTTATAGCCTAACAGACTACAGAATGCACTGATGTTTTCATAGTATTTAAGGGACCCACTGCAAGAAGCTTGCTTTCTTTTATTTGTATTCATTTAGATTTTGATTTTCCATGTTAAGAAGGTGAGGTCCATGTTGGTGCCCTTTGGAGTAGAGAACCATATAAACACTGGGAATCAACAGAGGCCTTAGGAATGAATAGTTTGCCTTATACAAGTTCCTGTTACAAAGCTCTCCCTCACATACAAAGTAGATGACACCTTTTGAGCATCTTTGAATTTGACATATGGTGCTGTTATTTTTTGAGATGGAGTCTCGCTGTTGTCAGCCGGGCTGGAATGCAATGGAGCGATCTCAGCTCACTGCCACTTCCACCTCCTGGGTTCCAGCAGTTCTCCTGCCTCAGCCTCCCAAGTAGCTGAGACTACAGGCGCCTACCACCACGCCCAGCCAGTTTTTGTATTTTTAGTAGAGATGAGGTTTCACGATGTTGACCAGGCTGGCTGAACTCCTGACCTCAGGCGATCCACCTGCCTCGGCCTCCCAAAGTGCTGGGATTACAGGTGTGAGCCACTGCGCCTGGCCTGCAAACACATTTTAATTGACAACAAACACTAGGGCTCTTGCACAAAAAAATGATAGCCATGGAAGTATCACCTTATTCTATGAGAGCTGTTCTTAAGTGTCTAAGGTTTAGTGTTCTTTTTAAAGGAAAGTTGTCCCAGGATTCATACTAAAGAAAGCAAAAGTTATTTCAACTGATCCACCAATGGAATTAGATGGGTAGAGTTGGGTTCTTGAGTTTTACCACCACTTAATTCCCTCTGAATTTTGTAACTTCCTGTGTTTCATCCTCTGTTCCTTATTCTGCCCTTGCTCTGTGTCATCTCAGTCAAATATTTGACTTAGAAAGTGCCCTTCAAAAGGACCCTGTTCACTGCTGCACTTTTCAATGAATTAAAATTTATTTCCTTTCTAGTGGGAATGTGTCCTTTGTTTTAGTTCACAAGCAGTAATTTTGACAAGATGCTTTCTTCTGATACAGTTTGTTTTAGTCACTCACCTAGTACTGGAAATGGGCTGTTTTCTAGACAGACCCTATAGTCTTTACCTGTATAGCTCTTATATACATGGCCCCTACTGATTGATAACCCCTGAATGAAGTACCATGTAGAAAATATATCCTGATAGACCAGGTGTGGTGGCTCACGCCTATAATCAAAGCACTTTGGGAGGCCAAGGTGGGTGGATCATGAGGTCAAGAGAGTGAGACCATCCTAGCTAACACAGTAAAACCCCATCTCTACTAAACACACAAAAAATTAGCCGGGCATGATGGCATACACCTGTAATCCCAGCTACTCTGGAGGCTGAGGCAGGAGGATCGCTTGATCTTGGGAGGCGGAAGTGGCAATGAGCAGAGACTCAGCCACTGCACTCCAGCCTGGGTAACAGAGTAAGACTCCATCTCAAAAAAAAAAAAAAAAAAAAAAAAAATCCTGATAAATCTTTATTCATTTACAGCTTTGGAGAAAAAATCTGGTCTTGGCTGGCTTTCTAACAGACTAAGCTCACCTTCAAAGATGCTTTGCCACGTGGTCCATTGCCCAAGATGGGGAATGACTTCTTATGGGGTCAGCAAACTTCTTAAAAGGATAGACAGCCAATATCGTAAGCTTCCAGGCCATGTGGTCTCTGTCACAGCTGTTTACCTGTGCTGTTATAACACAAAAGTAGCCATAGATAATACATAAGTGAATGTGTGGCTGTGTTCCAATAACTTTATTTACAAAAACAAGGACATAATTTGCCAACCCCTAGACCTTGTAGGTTGCCTCATATCTTGGCAGTTCTGAAGACCACATAGAAAAGTGTTAGACATAAAACTGTCAGATTACTATCAGAAAAACAGGTGATTTGGTCCAGGGGCAATGGCTCATGCCTTTAATCTCAGCACTTTGAGAGGCCGAGGCAGGAAGAATGCTTGATCTCTGGAGTTCAAGACCAGCCTGGGCAACATAGCAAGACTGTCACTATAAAAAGTATTTAAATTTTAAAAATGAAAAGCAGGTGACTTGGCTATATCACAATTTTAAGGTTATTTATCATGGCCTGGGATTTATACCCTTCTTGCAAGCTAATTAAGTAGGTCTGTTATTTCATGAGACTCCTGGGATAAAGACAAAGGACTTGATTACAGCACAGCAAGCCCTACAGGTACAATGCAGAGGGCCCAGATGGATGCCTGCACATGCAGTGGGTTTTGTTAGAGGAAAAAGAATGTTAGGCTTGGGGGGCCTTCGTCTAGGCTGGAGTGAAGTGGTGCGATCTCAGCTCACTGCAACCTCTGCCTCCCAGGTTCAAGCAATTCTCATGCCTCAGCCTCCTGAGTAGTTGGGATTACAAGTACACACAACCACACCTGGCTAATTTTTGTATTTTTAATAAAGACAGAGCTTCACCATGTTGGCCAGGCTGGTCTCAAACTCCTGACCTGAAGCGAGCTGCCTGCCTCAGCCTCAGCCTCCCTAAGTGCTGGAGGTATGAGCCACTGCACCCGGCCGAGCCTGCTGTGTTATAGCAAGCACTAAGTGAGGCTGCTGTTTGTTCCAGAAGAAGACATTAACTTATCCCTGAAGCTGCTCACTACAGACAAGCCTAAGGAATGGCCAGCATAAAAAGTGATGAGGAGGCCGGACATCGTGACTCATGCCTGTAATTCCAGCACTTTGGGAGGCTAAGGTAGGCAGATCACCTGAGGTCAGGAGTTCAAGACCAGCCTGGGCAACTTGGTGAAACCCCATCTCTACTAAAAATACAAAAATTAGCTGGGCATGGTGATACATACCTGTAATCTCAGCTACTTGGGAGGCTGACGCAGGAGAAGCACTTGAAACCAGGAGATGGAGGTTGTAGTAAGCCAAGATCACACCATTGCCCTCCAGCCTGGGTGACAACAGTGAAACTCGAATATCTCAAAAACAAAAAACCACAGGACCTTGCATTCTTGGCGTACAAAGCAAGGAGCTGCAAGCATGCTTGGGGTTCACAGTGGATTGCCTCTCCCAACAGCTGTCAGCTGTTCAGTAGCAGGGGATCACCTGGCTGGATGTTTCTCCTTCCTCTTCCAGAAAGGCTAGAATGCTAGATCAGGCCAATAATAGCAATTGTAGACCTAAATGCTTAAGTAAGATTTTCTTTTTAACCTGGGACCTAAGACCAAGAAACCTGAGAGAAGTGGGCGCTGGGCTTCCAGATTTCAAGACAAGATATCAAGACCCGATGGAAAGGGAAAGGATAACATTAGGTGAGGCACCAGGTCAGACTTCGTTTTGAGCCACCTCCTCTGGCCTTTGTCTAAGTACTAGAGAAAGGTGGTACAGAAAGGAGAGCCCCTGTGATCACCGTCCAAATATTAATAGAAAACCAAGATGGTACAGAACACCCATAAAATCACTAAGTTACCATCCTAAACATTGGGAATTTGATTACATCACAGTCATACCATCAGCAAGGAGAAGGAGAAGCTTCACTTGCAGAGACTCAGAGTGAAGAGAAATACAGACTCCATTAGATCCATTTTTTTGTAACTTATCCCAGCTATTCCCACTGAAACTGGACCCCGCCCTGTAGAACCAAATTCCCTACAGAAGTAGTGTTTGTTTCATCATCTTAATCTACCCCCAGTGGATTTATTTTTTGAGACAGGGTCTCGCTCTGTTGCCCAGGCTTGATGCAGTGGCCCTATCGGCTCACCACAACCGCCGTCTCCCAGGCTTAACTGATCCTCCCATCTCAGCCTCCCAAGTAGCTGAGACTATGGGCAGATAACACCATGCCCAGGTAATTTTTGTATTTCTTGAAGAGATGGGAATTTGCCATGTTGCCCAGATGGTCTTGAACTCCTGGCTCAAGGGATCCACCTGCATTGGTCTCCTAAAATGCTGGGATATAAGGCATGAACCACTGTGCCCAGCCACCCCCAGTGGATATAAAAGGCTGGTCATATGTGTACACTAAAATCTGCTGACACCAAGAGCTGACAACCAAAGAGCCCAAAGGAGACAAGCTGAAAGCATGGTGCTGAGATCTCCACTGACGGGCTAGGAATCACTGAGTAAGACAAGATTTAAGTGTGGGACATGGAAACTAGCTCCTGGAGTACAGTAAAGTAGATGACAGTTCTAAATCTTCGTCTTTGAGAGGAAGTTCGTGATCACCTGCTGGTGAGACTGATACCCGTATATGTCATCTTAACCTGCAGCCTCAGAAATAACGCCACACATCTACATCATCTGATCTTTGACAAACCTGACAAAAATAAGCAATGGGGAAAGGATTCCCTATTTAACAAATGGTGTTCAGAAAACTGGCTAGCCATATGCAGAAAGCTGAAACTGGATCCCTTCCTTACATCTTATACAAAAATTAACTTCAGAGGAATTAAAGATTTAAACATAAGACCTAACACCATAAAAACCCTAGAAGAAAACCTAGGCAATACCGTTCAGGACATAGGCATGGGCAAGGACTTCATGACTAAAACACAAAAAGCAATGGCAACAAATGCCAACATAGACAAATGGGATCTAATGAAACCTCAGAGCTTCTGCACAGCAAAATAAACTATCATTAGAGTGAACTGTCAACCAACAGAATGGGAAGAAATTTTTGCAATCCACCCATCTGACAAAGCACTAATATCCAGATTCTATAAATAATTTAAACGAATTTACAAGAAAAAGCCCTCAAAAACTGGGCAAAGGATATGAACAGACGTTTCTTGAAAGAAAACATTTATGTAGTCAACAAACTTATGAAAAAATCATCACTGGTCATTAGAGAAATGCAAATCAAAACCACAGTGAGATACCATCTCATGCCAGTTAGAATGGCAATCATTAAAAAATCAGGAGACAACAGATGCTAAAGAGGATGTGGAAAAATAGGAACACTTTTACCCCGTTGGTGGGAGTGTAAATTAGTTCAACCATTGTGGAAGACAGTGTGGCGATTCCTCGGATATAGAACTAGAAATACCATTTGACCCAGCAATCCCATTACTGGGTATATACCCAAAGGATTATAAATCATTCTGTTATAAAGACACATGCACATGTATGTTTATTGCAGCATTGTTCACAGTAGCAAAGAGTTGGAACCAACCGAAATGCCCATCAATGATAGACTCGATAAAGAAGATGGCACATATACACCATGGAATACTATGCAGTCATAAAAAAGGATGAATTCATGTGCTTTGCAGGGACATGGATAAAGCTAGAAACCATCATTCTCAGCAAACCAACACAGAAACCGAAAACCAAACACTGCATGTTCTTGCTCATAAGTGAGTGTTGAACAATGAAAACACATCGGGACAGGGAGGGGAACATCACACACTGGGGCCTGTCAGGGTCAGGGGTAGAGGAGGGATAGCATAAGGAGAAATACCTAATGTGGATGATGGGGTGATAATGCAGCAAACCACCATGGCACGTATATACCTATGTAACCTGCACGTTCTGCACATGTACCCCAGAACTTAAAGTATAATAATAATTAAAAAAATTTTTAAGCTAAAACTGTCCCCTCAAAGGATTAAAAAATAGTAACAAAAATTCTTGAATTTACAGGATAGCAGATCTTAAAAGAAACTAGCTAATTAGATTTTGCATAGAATGAGTCTGCTGATGTCACAGCCTGAATTTCCACTGCATATTTCTGACAAACTCCCCAGATTTGCAACTGTGACCCATGAGTTTGCATAAAGAAATAACTACATGTGCCCAAGGAGTTTCCAGACCTCCCTTTTCCTTTCAGCAAGCATCTGCTAATCCCAGTATCCACCCCAAACTCCTTTACATTTTTGTGGAAATGGGGCTCTCACTGTGTTTTGGGGGTTTTCCAGAGGTGGTTTGAGACATGGGCTTGCTATATTGCCTAGACTGGAGTACAGTGTTGTGATCATGGCTCACT